ATGGGCATTTGTTTGAGGAATAGTCCAGCTACCCTGGCGATATCGGTCTGGTTGTCATGTTCGCTATGATCGGTGACGACTGATCCATCACCCAATTCGAAGCGCTACAAATTACCAAACCCAACTGACTTGCCTCTGTCCCTTTTTAAAGATGATGGAGACCTAATTATGTGACTGATATTGTTGCTTACAACCGTTTGGCGATTAGCGAGTTCTCCAACATTGTGGAATGAGTCGTTAGTTGTCCCTATCGTTAAAAGGGTTAACGTTATCTTTCTAACAACCATCGGAAGATAAGTCTACTACCGATTGTGTCCAAATTGTTGGCTTCCGTCATACTTCTTAGATTGTTCGAAACCGGAGAAAGATTGACTCGTGAGGAGCAGGCTGGTTTTCATTGTGATCGAGAATGTATTGATCATATCTTCACCCCCGCCAAATGTTAGAAGACTACCACACTTATCGCAGGCCAACAATCGTTGTGCTTCATTACATCAGGACTGCCTTCCTCTGAGGTTGCTTTTGAAGGGAGGTGTGTTGGAGAAGCTTATTAACCTCTTGAATTCCCTATATAAAAACACCTCAGGCAAAGCAACGGCATACAACCACCTCACAATGTTTTATCCAAGCAGTGGAGGTAGGTTGAGTCGCCCTATCTCACCATCGCTCTTCAATTTCGTCATCAGTCACGTCCCGGAAATAGCTCTGATGGATGTAAGTGAAAGTGGTGTTGATCTGTTACCTAGTCAAAAAAATTAGAAAGCTTTCTGTGTTCAGTTACTGTGATGGCAACGTCACGTTATAATGCAGAGGCTCAGCAGCGCGTGTTTGGGTACAGTAACAATAATTCAATTGTTGTCAATATCTTTAAACACCGACTTCTTTGGCTTGGATATATATTACGAATTTCGTCTCAAAGAATACCATATGGTGCATTATTTGCTGGGACTGTTTGCAAAAAGCGGAAAGGTGGTCAGTGTATGACATGGTGTTGCGGTGTGAAACAGCGGTACTAGACTAGCATCTGTTGGTCCCTTATGCTTCTGTCAGACAGACAGACAGAGACAAGGCAGAAATTCGTACGTACGTTGCCATACCGCATCAGCATAAAGTCGCAACTGTCGATTTGTAACACATAGTGATAGAGATGGTGGAAGAAATGCTGATAATGGAGAAGATTAGGATTTGAGAGAACACAAAGAGTGGATGCACTTGCGCCACTGTAAACGATTTTGAGCCATGTCGTTCAAGGTCTCTAACCATCGGTGACTTTCGTCTCACGGATCCCAACCAGGTAGCCTACATCTACCAACATGACTCAGTCTACTTACCGGTGATTTCACGGATTTCTGACACGTTTTGGTTTGACTGCCCCTAGCTTTCTCGCAACCTACTCCTACACCACAAAACATAGCTCGTCGAGGCAGTCGGTGGTTAGGCATACGCAAACACATGTCCCAACCACCTCAACTGATGAAGTTTCAATACTTCATCTATTGATTTGCTATCCTTACCTAGTACCCGTTTCCTAACGACAGCATTGCTTACTCGGTTGTCCCAGGACATACGAGCAATGCTTTGGAAACACCTATGATCGAAAACCAGCAGCCTACGGATGTTTTCTACTCTGTCTGGTCATGTTTCGCAGACATAAAGTAGTACGGAGCGAAATGCTGCGCAGTACACTCGTCCTTTCTTCAGCAAACGGATATCTCGCCTGCGCCATAGGTGACGCAACTTGGCAAAAGCCATGCGTGCTGAGATTCCATCAGTCACCAGGCCATCAGCACTGATGAAACTCCCCAGGTAAGGAAAGCGTTCTACACATTCTACTACTTCACTCCATATTACTAGTTCTCACGTAGAGTAAATCGGGCTGCTTCTTTATTTTGACAAGGTGAAATCAAATTAATGATTTTCTTGGGATTCTGTATGCGCGTTTCGGAGACGCAGCGTATATCTGAGGCGCGGGATTCTAAAGTCCTAGCTAAGGAAGCCTGTTGCCCCGTTCGACACAATGTTCGGACAATAAGTGCTCCAACACGTAATTTAGAACGGGGTTTTAAGAGACTAGGAATAAGGTTTCGGGAACTCGAATCGTTTTCATAAGCGGTACGGGTTGATAGTCTTCTGACTACCCTGAGCAACAATGCAAGCATGACCAAACATGACCAGACAGAGTAGAAAATATCCGTAGGCTGCTGGTTTTCGATCATAGGTGTTTCCAAAGCATTGCTCGTATGTCCTGGGACAACCGAGTAAGCAATGCTGTCGTTAGGTGGTTGGGACATGTGTTTGCGTATGCCTAACCACCGATTGCCTCGACGAGCTATGTTTTGTGGTGTAGGAGTAGGTTGCGAGAAAGCTAGGGGCAGTCAAACCAAAACGTGTCAGAAATCCGTGAAATCACCGGTAAGTAGACTGAGTCATGTTGGTAGATGTAGGCTACCTGGTTGGGATCCGTGAGACGAAAGTCACCGATGGTTAGAGACCTTGAACGACATGGCTCAAAATCGTTTACAGTGGCGCAAGTGCATCCACTCTTTGTGTTCTCTCAAATCCTAATCTTCTGCATTTGGCAATACCTCTACCCTTATGTTCGGGGGACATAGATGAAATAAAGCATGTCTGCTTTTGCCTCTCGCTGATTGGCTAATATCCTATACAATTACCACCTGGCTCATACTTGGAGAACATGCTCGAAAATTCCCGTGTCCTTAGCTCCATTCTGATTGGCTAAATCTAATCCGGTCACTGCTAATCAATCACGTGAATTACATTCCAGAAGCTTCTCACTAACTATGAAGACACTATGTTATTTCTATTTTGCCTTCACCTTGTGCTTCGGCTTCTTATTTCCATTCAACCTTGCTATTTGGAGTATAATCTTTACCTGTTCCACCGTGTTTTGATTCTTTGGAACTTGTCCAGTGTATTGTGGTCAGATAATACTAATCAATAGGAATCAGCTGAGCATTATTTAAGCGAGCGTTACAATACTTTGTCTTTCTAAACTTACCTCACTCAATTATACTTCTGGAATAATATTTTCAAACCCTAATCTTCTCCATTACTGCTAATATTTCTACTATTGCTACCATTATGGGGTTTTAACTGACAGTTTTCGACTCTGTGCTGATTCAGTATGGCAACCTGAACTGATGTACGTACGTACGAAGTTCTACGTTGCAACTGACTGCCCACACCGTTAATGGGTGTTTTTTGAAGAACCTGCAAACGAAATTGAATAATGTTGGTCTTACAGACCTGGGAGCGTGAGCGGAGAGCCCAAGGTACAACTGCTTGAGGACGGATACACTTGGCCTTTTTTAGAGTAATAGCTCCGCTCTTTTAAAGCCCTTATCGGGCAACCTTTACCGCCTGAGACGGAAATCCGTGATGTAAGGTGAGGTGTGATATTTTTGGGGTCGACCTGTTCCAACCCTTCCTTGTGAGAAGGCAGCATCGCTGCAGACGCTGGTTATTCGAGGGAAACACCTTACTGCTATCACACCTCTCGACAGTCAGCAGCACGACTTCGCCCTCAGACCTTGAGTAGCTGCTTTTAGTCTTGTCGTTCTCCAATCGACCTGCGTGGCATGGTAGAACCTACAGGATCATATGTTCCAGCCAATATAGCTCGGTTGGGTGATCACGATAGACAAGCCCGATTACTACCTCAAGTTAGCAGCTACGGTCGGGTACGCTTCTGTGCTAATGTGGTATGGCAACTTGTACGTTCTTACGTGCTAAGTTCTACATTAGAGCTAACTGACTCACATCTCCTTGGCTGGGATCCTGAAGATGGCGCACCTTAGTGACCCAGAATAAAAGTTGGTGGCGGTTCTGACGTAAATTTCTTTTCGCTCCTTCATATTGGCGAGGCAAACTTCAGTAATCGGAATCATTTTTTCCGATTGTAATTTTCTTAAGTAATCTGCTTCTCTTATTATTGTTTTACCCTGATGCACTGATATCTATTCATTCATCGTTCTTTCTCTATCTTTACAGCCTCATTTTTATTGTGTGGCGCATATAGATTTTGTTGCCTACTTGTACCAATATTTGTGTTTTGAATGAAATAAAAATCATGGAGCGATATCTGTTTTGCTTGTAATTCAAGTAACATAAAACCGCGAAATTGTTAGTGACTGGGTATTCAAGTAAAGTAATTTGGTTGATGTAAGTCTACAACCCATGCACCCCATTGCATCGTACTTGTATTCCGCATGGTTTACCTCTTTGCAGGATGTTGATGTCCAATCATTTATGATATCAATATTTAAAGTAAAACTTCTCTTTAAACCTTTATCGATCAATTTCTATGTTTGCTGCAGGTTCAATTCCTGTCTGCATACTGGCATAAATGTAATAACCCAGGTATACGAAATAGTTTATCAGATTGACCTATTCGTCTCTCGTAATCGCGGTATTAGACGTGAAAACTGAAGATACCGTTTAGATTAAAACGATGTAGCATGCCAGTGTGTACTCCGTATGCTTCATTTTGGTAAGCCTTACAATTCCGTTTTTAAAGAAATTTACTCTAAGACGGGTACAAAAACATTTATTTGGCTAATGAGTTAGGTTACATTTCCCATTCAACCCTCTATCATCACAATATAATCTCAAAGTATCATATCATGAAAGTGTTTTCGGTCAACATAGCTCATTCAGTTAACCGAGTAGAAAATTCAAACTGACGCATCAAAATAATCGTTATAAATCTCACCAACAGTATTTACACTTCCTGGTTTCAGCTGTTATATACGCAAGTTTGGTTCAGTTCCTGGTGTAGTGTATTTGGTCATATGGATCGATTACTCACATAAAAGCCCGTAACCGTAATACTGAAATCAGTGTGTTCCAATTTTCCGTTAGTCCATTTGCCACTGATAATTCTTGGGATTCCATAGTTCATTTTTACTAAAAGCTTAGCGTTTTAAGATTTAATATCATATTTATATAATTAATTTCCGAGTCATTTTTGCCTTTTCTAGTGCTCTTCGAACACAATTCGTTGGCTGTGAACTTGATATTGAATATCTGGGCAAAGTCCACTGCCTTCGTCAGGCATTCGACTATATTTTTCACTGTCGTGAACCTACTGACTGGGTTATCGAAGTCGGAAAACGGAATGTATGTCGCTTATTGCATTGCCTTGGATACCCTTTAACGGATTTTGAGGGGAATTATGAGTAAGTATAACCTCTGAAGTACTAGACGCTAAACACTACTGCCCTTTTGTAATTTTACCATTCTGTAGGCATTGGACAGTAGTGTCCTAATCCATGTAATTGCTTTTATTAGAAGATTGAACTCCAGTCGTCCACAGTTGTCATAGTATTTGGGTGCTACTGCTTTTACTGAGTAAGTAAAACAGTTTGTTTTGCGTATAATCATTCATCTGCAACGTAAAACCTGACACATGCACATTGGCTCGAGTTGCCATACCACATCAGCAGTCAGATAAAATTATTGAGACAGTTCCCAGAGTAGTAGAAGTAGTAACAGGATCAGTGCCAGGTGGAAATACCAGGCGTAGAAAGAAAAGGTATGAAGAGATTTTGGCGTCCAGGAACTAAGGGAACCACTTTGAACCATTACATTCAAAGCCTCTAACTGTTACAATTGCCGCTCGGAATTCAACTAAATAATGTACATCTGTTTACATAACTCAGCCTAACAAATGGTGACTTCATGGTTTAATTCCACGTTCTTGTTTGGGCACCTCTAACTTCTAACCTGCTTCTACTCCAGACAACATCTCCCGTCAATATAGGTGGCGTTTGGATGTCACAACCACATCAATCGATGAAAATTCACTATCTTATTGAACAACCTACTATCCGTGCCCAATACTGTAAACCTAAACTCAGCATTGCTCAATGGGTAATTCCAAAATGCACAAGCGTTGGTTCTTAAACACCTACGATTTAATGCTACAAAGCTATGAATATTCTCTTTTCTTCGTAGACATGATCCACATCCATGAAGTGAAATAGAGTTCTCTTTGTGTTCTCTCAAATCCTAATCTTCTGGGTTCTTCAACACCTCTAGTTTTGAATTTCTAAACTTTTCTCACTGAATGATACTTCTTGAATAATATCTTCTAATCCTAACCTCTCCAATTACTTCTAATACCTTTACTACCTCTTCTGCTATTGGATTAGAATTGAAAATTACATCTCTGTTCTGATGTGGTATGGCAACATGAACTGATGTACTTACGTACGAAGTTCTACGTTGCATCTGACTGACCGAAATAGAGTTAACTGCTGCGTGGAAAACTTTTCCTTTGGTTGGCGAATTTGCATATTGTCTACATCAAGGTATCAAAAGCTAAGTAGGGTTTCGTCAGACACTAACCCACTAGGGGTATTGAGCCACCATTAGTCCAAGCCTAGACATAAACCAGTCCTAAAACAAAATTTCACATTTAAAGGAAAAATTCAATCCCAAACATGCTTTGCGTTATTGTCCATAATGATTAGAAGACTGGATTTCGTCAGTGTCTTCACAAAAGGGAACCATTTTATCTGAGTTTTCTAAATTCAACAACAAGTGAATTTCATGGTAAGAGATTAATCTCTGAAAGTTTGATGACTAATGTGTGTAATATTTATATTTGTATTTAGAAATTCAATTAACTCACACAACATTATCGCGTATTTATTTCTGTTTTTTTTCAAGTGGTCATTAGCTGTGAATATTTTATTTTTCTAAAATATTATTTCTTTTCCTTTCAGTCGTCTTATGGAGTTCATTAATTCTCAAAAAAATAAACCAAACAACATGATGGCTGAGGAATTATTTGCTAAAGGTGTAAAAGTGATCAATTTTTATGATGTTGTCATTGACTTAATGCTTTTAGAAGCTTTTGAATTATTAGCTAATCCACCTAGTACTGTATTATCTGTCACTAGACATAAATGGTTGAGTGATAATTTTAAACGTTGTGCTCTTGATTCAACCGTTTGGACTATTCTACTAGCTAAACGAAAATTATTAAAATATCCAGATGGATTTTATGCGTATTATTATAGTATGATTGGTACAGCATTGCCTGCATTAGCTTGGGGTTTTCTTGGACCAAATGAGAATTATTTTCATATTTGTGATCGTTTCCGTGAAATTATTGTATCATTTATTCGTGAATCATTTATCTGTTATGATACTACGTCATCGTCTACATTGGCAACAATCTCTTGTTCTAATGGTTTATCATTAATTTTAAACGAACATTCCATGAAACAAAATGAATTTGATAAAATTATTTTAAATAATTATTCTGTAGACAAAAATTTGAAGAATTCCACAATTTATTCAAATAATATTAATCATGGCGGTGGTGATGATAGCAGCGCTGATACTACTATATCTGAATCTGGTCCTACAATTGTATGTCTTTCAGATCAGTTACCACAAACAGTTTCATCAAATACTGTTCATCGTCAAATTGGTTTGCGTTATACAACTGTAGAAGATCTAGCTAATGATTTATATAAACTAATTAATGTTTATTCTCAAGATTTATTGAACATGTTTATCAATGAATCAAAATTATGTGAAAATATGTTACCAGTTGAATTAGAATCAAATCCTATTCAGCCAATGTTATGTCGCAGTGTTGAATAAAAAATGCTGGACAGTATATATATATATATATATATATATATATATATATATATATATGTATTCCTGCACTTCTACTGTTTCATGTAAACTCTTATTACATTGCTTTTAAACATGTTTATTTATATATATTGACCTCTTATTCTAGTCTTCATTATTACTGTAAATCATGACATTCCCAAAATATAAAAGTAAAGTTTTGTTCTTTTTGAAAATAAGTTTTGTTTTCAATCAAATATGTTTGAAAATGTACTTTTAAGTATTTCTTCTCAACGGTTATTATTAATATATGAGTTACTTATGAAGTTGTGCTCTCTCAAATCCTAATTTTCTGGAATCGTCAGCACCCCTACCTTTGTCTTTGTAACCTTATCTCACTGAATTATACTTCTTGAATAATATCTTCACCATTAATACCTCTACTATCTTTATTGCTTAGTTATTTAAACACAAAGAGGCACTTAAAGATTTATGCACTACATAAGTCAAATACCGTCTGTGGGCTGGGAACTATTCATGTGCCCAAACGGAAATAAGTGGTTATTTTAGGGAGCCACTTTCTAAGCCTATGACCTACAGGTCTAATCTAGAGTAGTAAAACAACGTCAGAAGATGCAGTTTCATGATTGCCGATAATCAGCAATAAGTTGATACTCTATTTGTTCTCTTAGAGTGGTGGAGCGCGTGTGTACAATTGGTCTGGAATCAGGGTTTACTAAATTCCGTAAGTGGATCTTCCGTACCCACCAACCAGGTGGGTAGGGTTGTACATCTGTTCCAGTCATATACTACCATTCATTCTATTTCGTCGATAATCCTCACAGGTTCTTTCTTATTTCTTATCACTGTTATCGTACAGTTCTTTTAATGGATGCACCTACTCAAGCTATTCTCTCCGCTTTCTCTATTGTCCTTGGACATGAGATAGGTAATCGACAAGCAGCTGAAGAAAGTCTGACTGCATTAGAAGTTCTTGAAGGTCAGTTTAATTTAATATTCTGTAGTATTTACTGAAGCTTTTCTTAATCACTTCTGGTCCAGAGTAGTTATTTTTAAATACTACTTCGAACGACTACGCACTGTTCCCTCATAAAAGGTTGAGAAAAAATAGATTTACAGAGATTTGCTTCTTAGTGCGCTTTTGTAGAATCTAATTTCATAGCTATATGTTGATTGAAATATCAGTAAGCAATTAGGTAAACCAGTTAAAATCAGTAGAAATTCATCAATTTCTGATTACTCACTGTTATGTCCTCACGCAGACGACTTTTTAATAATCAATATACAACAAAGACGAAAAACTTGACTACTCTATGCTCGTACGATGGCTCACTGCTAACTCGCCCCAAGCAAAGAGGAAGAACAAAAACTAAGTACCATCAGCCCAAGTATCTTTTCATTATTATATTTCAGACATTACTTTATGTACACAGACAACCAGATCACATAGCACCAATAAATGGAAATTAACAACTATAAATGAATAGGCCAAAAGTTGCTGTAAGTAGGGGATTGTTTGTGTTGAAATCAATTTGTTGTTTAAAACAATTAGTCCCTTTTATAAATTTTGATAGAACATTGAGAACACGTAAGTGATCTGGAAAATTTGATGTATTTGCGCTATACATTTCAAATAGACAAGGTGATAATTGTATATAAAGGAAAGAGAAAATTAACGTAATATGAAAAGAATAAGAAAGGGTAGGATATTGTCACATTACCCTAGGCTTAAAGGTTACCATGGTAAATTCAAGGTTATAACAAATTGTTGCTGTATACTTAAGGGGGGTTTTAATTTACGAATAGCCAAGGCCTCCATGAACCTTAAAATTCGTCCTTCAACATTTCTTTACAAAAATGTATAGCGCAAATACACCACACTTTTCAGATCACTTACGTCTTCTCACTTCTATCAAAAATTGTTGTTTATTTTGAGATACCTTATGCCAATACGATTGTGATACAAGAGGATATTTCATTTACCTTCGGAGTAAAATGCCGTACATTCACTGACGGACTTGTTTTATTTTGTTTTGGAACAACATATGTGTTACAAAAGATTTATTAAATAGTAGAGACGATTTATAGCTTAAGTAGGTGCTTTTTGTCATGCCTTATCTTAACTACATGGATTTGGCCATAAATCTTCAATAGACACTGGAAAACAACGCTTGCTTGACGTAGAATCTTATGTTCATTCATTTTTTTTATCATATCTCTGATCCTGTTGTAGATTATCCAATCAAAGTGATGAATATATTTTTAAATGAACAGTTTTGTGTTGAATTACGTCAGTTGGCTGGTATTACATTAAAGAATTACGTAGCTGTACACTGGAGTCAAACATCTTGTATGTCATTTAAACCACCGGAAACATGTGACAATGTAAGTGGTTTATTATAATGTAATCATGGTGATCAATTTTATAACTTTTTTAGAATTTTTATTCTTGTAAGTGGTTCCTCACTTTTTGATTTCGGAAAAATCATGAATTCCTTTCAAGTTTCAAATATATTCTTTCATAAATAAAATTTTCTTATGTAAACATTTCTTGAGAGGAAAATTGGCTAAATTACTGCGTTTCTCTTTAATTATGAGACAGTCAAATATTTTTCATGCTTTCACTTGTAAACTTCTTTGTTTTACTGAAGGCGAAATCACTTATTCGATCTGGAATGTTACAGTTATTAACTTCATCTCATCGATCAATTCGTATAACAGCAGCGCATACAGTCACATTGATTGCTCAACATGACTGGCCAGAAATGTGGCCGGATTTATTTCATCAACTTATTGCATTAATTCGACAATCATGTATAAATAACAGTCCTGATGTATATAAGAATATAGTACATGGAGTTTTACGTGTACTAAAAGGTAAGTTACAATATCTGAGAATATTTGTGATGATTTGTTGATCAGGAAAAATTATACCACTAACTGTTAAACCATCTGTAAATATTTTGAAATTAATATAAACTTATTTTTAAGGCCGACTGTATTGAAGGAATCCACACATGATGCTATTTATTATTAAAAACATGAACAACGGTATAAAGGAGCACCTAGATATTTATGTGCAACATAATTCATTGGATTTGTGAGTGGGTTTCGATTGTGCCTGGGTACCCAAACTGTAGCACAAGGATTTCTCATGGGGGCCATACGCCGAGCCTTTTACCTACACACCTAATTCACAAAACGGTGGAGCAGAGTGGTCCCGTTGTAACACGTAACTAGCAATGAGTCCATATACCATTCATTCTGTCAAGATAGTAGTGCCTATGCGTACCACTGGTTTGAAATGCAGGATATCAACTCCGATACATGAATCCTTCGTATCTACTAATTCCTCGTAGCTTAAAATTTACAATCTCCCGTCGTTGATGTATGCTGCGTCTCTGAAACGCTCATACAGAATCAAAGTACACGCATTCATCTGACCTCGCTTTCTCAACACAAACAACCAGCGCTATGTGTGTCTGGAAGCCCGACTGCTGTTTCTCATGGCCTCGTTGGTGTAGATAAACAATAAGTTGTAAAGCAGAAGTAGGCCTCAGACAGTATCGCAATAGACAATAGCTTGTTCACTATCTGACTAACCGGGACAGTGGGGTCTCAGAAAGATGAGGATACCCACCGTGGCAACTCTACATATCTCCCTACTCTTTCATTGACGTGTAGCGCCCATAAGGTAGAAAAAATGCAATTTACAGAAAGCATTCTGACATCCTACAAAGTAGCAATCAATGCACTTCAAACGACATAAAACGTAAGCTTTATAGAAAAGCTCTTAAATTCTCCAACTGTGCTCAGATATCCCCAAACACTAAATTTAAGCATAAGAAAAACATCTCTCCACCTGGCGACCCCCAAAATTGTCTCAACGTTGGACCCAACTAGCTCACATTGCCATCATCCACCGATGGAGGAGTTCGATAGGGGACTGTCGCTCGTTCTGGCGCACATGTTTAGATTCAGATCATGCTCTAGTGCAAGCGCGTATTCGTTTGCGACTTACTGCACGTAGGAAATATATCGCAAGAAAAACCTCTTAGGGTTATACTTAATGATAACAAATCTAAGAACATATGTCAGTGACAACTAGAAAAACAGTTAGGCAGCCATGAAGTAAGTGATGCACATCCCGAGACAGCTTGGAATGATATCCAAAAGGGTGTGCAAACAGCAGTGATATCTGCTAGTAAGGTAAACCATTAGGCTAGGAAGCAGCAGTGGATCTCAGTAGCATCCACCAACCTGACAGAAGCTCATCTCGCCTGCCTCTGGATGCGATAAGGAGCAAAGTCAGCTTAAGCGCAGGCTGGTAAAAAGCCTACGCAATGATCGCGAACAGTGGTAGGTGGCGAAAGCAAGAGCAATGGAAAAGGAAGTGATGATAGGCGACAGTAGACAACTGTTCAAACTTATCAAGGGAACCGGTATTAAGAATCCAACTGTTAGTGATACTATCCCGGAAAACGATGGGCTTATTATTCATTCCCAATACAGGAGATTGGAGGAATGGGCAGAACACTTCAGGGATCAGTTCAACTGGCCTTCAGCTACACTTCGGTTGCCCACGATCTCCAGTCATTCTAAACGGCAAATCGACCTAAGTGCTTCAACTATTGTTGAAGTTGAAAAGGCTATAGGAAATCCGAAGCAAGGGAGAGAAGCAGGAACTGATAGATTGACCCCTGAGATTTTTAAGGATTGTGGTCCAGTTTTAACAGGTAGATTGACTGAGATCTTAGACAGAATCTGGGAACTGGGCGTAATCTCATCTGACAGGTCTCAATCACTAATTGTCCCAGTCTGCAGAAAGGAAAAAAGTCCTGTTGTGACATTCACAGAGGAATCAGCTTAACTAATATAGCGTCGGAAATATTGGCCTCAATAATACTCCGACGCTTAACGAAAGCTCGTGAAGAGCAGACTAGAGAAAACCAGGCTGGTTTCAGACCTGGACGTGGATGCATACGTCACATATCCACACTACGTCAGGTCGTGGAACAAAGACACGTTCCTGCGTCCCACAATAGCAGTATTTCTCGACCTTAAGGCGGTATTCGACTCTGTTGATCGTGAGGTTGTGTGACAGCGTCTGTCATTGAAAGGTTTACCAAAGAAGTACATCCACCTTACACAAGCTCTCTACTCGAACACTACCGGTCTAGTTAGAGCTTATGGCGAACTCTCATCGGAATTCTTTACTTCAAGTGGTATCCGTCAATGGTGTTTATTCTTATTTGACTTTGTCGTAGACATGCTTTTAGAGTTAACATTATCATCGTCTGACTTTTCAGCAGTCGACCTTCTACCAACAGAAACTTAGAATAAACCGATGACATAGTTTTACTTGGTGAAGACGGTGAAAAAATGCAGAGTCTTCTGACTACCCTGAGCAACAATGCAAGCATGTTCGCGATGCGGTTCTTACCCTCGGAACGCAAAATGTTGCTTCAAGATTGGGTTGAGGTAGTCGAACGTGTAGACCGCTTCACTTATCTGGGGAGTTTCATCAGTGCTGATGGCCTGGTGACTGAGGGAATAACACATATAAGCGAACAATATTGTTTTCGATTAGATCGTCATCAGGCTTTACTCTAATATACATGAATATTTATATGAAAATGTTAAACCAATCAAGGCAATTTGAGTGATAATCACAATGAAATGAAAAAGATTACGTAACTACATATAATAGGCAAAAGTTCAAGTGGATAGTAGGAAAACAGGTGTACTGATAGTAGTAAGAAAATTTATAAAATATAACTAAAGTAGGTCGAGGATGGATGAATAGAATTCAAATAATCATCAAAAACATTACGTAATAAGCAAATGTGTAAAAATAAAATAAAAATATAGATATATATAATGTCAGTCGTTAGTTACGTCATATCCGGCCACGGAAGAGATAGGGGTGTCACGAATTTCTTCTGAACACGTAAATTAGGGTTGAATGTACGTATTCCTATGGCTTCTGCAATGTGTAGGAGACGGGATCGAACTCCGTTGGGAAATGATGGAGGTATACGATAGATCACCCGAAAAGATCTAGATTTATCTACAATGTGACCACTATCTACCAGGTGTGCTAAGATAGAACTGCGTATTATTTTTGACTGACCCTTCGTAAACCATGCTGGGAGATGTTCACTCATTCGTTGTGTAAGTTGCCTGGAAGTACGCACGATATAGCTATCTCCACAGGAGCAGCTGAATTTGTAATTGCACATAGAGGAGGCCAGCTCAGGTAACTTATCCTTCGTTTGAGTAGACATCGCAGGTCGACTGGAGAAAGTCAATGCATGTTTGGCAGCGTTGAATGTTCTGTTAATTACTCTTCTTAATCTGTCCTGCAGAGTATCGCAGGCCACATCTCCGTTGAATTGTAGCTTCATAAATAAAGGCTTCTTTTGGGCGGTCGAAACCACCGACTTCTTTTTTACGGCAAACACATACTTCTTTATGAATGCGCTGTGATAATCAATCTCGTTAGTGAGCCGTTGATGAATTCCAGCTCCTGACTTAAAGTATCCATTGAACATATCATATTTGCTCTGTAAGTGAGACATCTATCCAAATTTCTTTTGTAGCGGATAGGTGTAAAACTACAAAAGTGAGTGTATTGGCAAGCACTGGGATTTTTTTCGATACACGCTTCTACTTAGTGAACCATCATTTTGCCTCCTTAGTGTGATGTCATGGAAATACAGTTTTTTATCATATTCTTCTTCACCAGTGAACGTGATTGCCGGGTGTACACTGTTGAATTGTTCTAAGAGTTTTTTTCTTTTCTGGTGTCCTGATCTACAATGATGAATCTGCCATCGACATAACGGCAATATAGATCAAGTTTCTGAATAACTTCGTTGAGTGGTCCATTATCTAGCTTTGCTAGAAAGAGATCGGCTAGAATTGGGCCTAGAGGTGAGCCCATGGCTATACCGTCTCTCTGTCTATAATAATTGTTGTTGAATACGAAATGGACATTCATCGTGCGTCTTAGGAGTAATTCCTTAAGGCAATCTTCGGGCAAGCCAATGTTGATTTGTTTTTCCTTAATTTGCTCGCATACGAATTCAATAGTCTCGAGGAGTGGTACGTTAGTGAACAAAGAAACCACATCGTGCTAAACCATATTTTTCTTGCTAACATTCATACTTTCCACTTTGGAAGTGAACTCAAAAACGTCTTTTACACTTCTTCGCACAACTGATTTATGCAAAGGCTCTAAAATTCGCACTAACCACTTCGCAATTTTGTGGTAAGGAGAATTGTACATATCAAGGACCGGGCGCAGAGGAAGATCCGATTTGTGGACTTTAGGCAAATCATATAGTCGTGGTGTATATGATCCAGTCAGTTTAATCGAGTCGTGAATTTCAGACGCGATCACTCCTTTTTTCTTTAGTTCTATAAGCGAATTCGTCAGTTGTTTTTCCACCTTTTTATTGATGTCGTTATTATTGGTGACTTTCTGAAATTTGCTAGGATCATATAGCATTCCTTCCATTTTAGCTTTGTAATCAGGTTTATTCATAAGAACTATACCTCCCCCCTTGTCTGGCTTGCTCATGATCGAAGTATCATCTTTTTTGAGTTTTGGTAAAGCCTCAAGTTGCAGTTTAGTGAAAAGGCGATTAGTAGAAGGCTTACTGGTTTTATATTGTTGGCAGCCATCGACTAAAGTTGTCTTGAATCTACCGACATCCTCCACTGAGGTGGAGAACAGGTCGGTTGTTCGTGAATACAAATTTTCAAACTGCACATCGGTGTCTAGGTGATTGATTTTCTGACCATTATCACAAAATTTTGGCCCCAACGACAAAGCCTCTAACTGTATTACATCAAGTTCAATGTCTGAAAAATTGTGTACGTACCGAGTCGGATCCAGTGGAAATTCCTTTTCCGGTTTTTGTTCTTCCAGAGTTTTCACTAACTTATTCATTGTCTTCTCGGTCTTCTCAAATTGTCTTGATTGGTTTAACATTTTCATATCAATATTCAAGTATATTAGAGTAAAGCCTGATGACGATCTAATCGAAAACAATATTGTTCGCTTATATGTGTTGTTCTAATTTTCACAATGAGACTGACGGAAACTCAGCACGCATGGCTTTTGCCAAGTTGCGTCACCTATGGCGCAGGCGAGATATCCGTTTGCTGAAGAAAGGACGAGTGTACTGCGCAGCATTTCGCTCCGTACTACTTTATGTCTGCGAAACATGACCAGACAGAGTAGAAAATATCCGTAGGCTGCTGGTTTTCGATCATAGGTGTTTCCAAAGCATTGCTCGTATGTCCTGGGACAACCGAGTAAGCAGTGCTGTCGTTAGGAAACGGGTACTAGGTAAGGATAGCAAATCAATAGATGAAGTATTGAAACTTCATCAGTTGAGGTGGTTGGGACATGTGTTTGCGTATGCCTAACCACCGACTGCCTCGACGAGCTATGTTTTGTGGTGTAGGAGTAGGTTGCGAGAAAGCTAGGGGCAGTCAAACCAAAACGTGTCAGAAATCCGTGAAATCACCGGTAAGTAGACTGAGTCATGTTGGTAGATGTAGGCTACCTGGTTGGGATCCGTGAGACGAAAGTCACCGATGGTTAGAGACCTTGAACGACATGGCTCAAAATCGTTTACAGTGGCGCAAGTGCATCCACTCTTTGTGTTCTCTCAAATCCTAATCTTCTCCATTATCAGCATTTCTTCTCAGGATGTGGTTCACATCTAAGTACCCGGTGATTCTAGATAAAGTATCATCTAGGAATCAGACTCCTTGGCAATGTTTCCACGATCCTGCCGCAGATCCTACCTCAAGCATTTAAGTCACTTAGTTGCCATCCAGTAGCTCCTATTTTAGTCTTCGATCGATTCCTCATATCAAACACCAATTATCTGATGCCATTTCTGTTTAACTCCCTCATGCTCTATATGAATGAACTCCAGTTGTCATGGCTTTTTATCAGAGCTGTTAAAATTACCTCCCAAATTACTTACTGGTGAGTAAATGATTCGGTTTTTTAATCAAATTATCCCTATTGTTTTTGGAGTAGTATAGAAATTCCGAACTACATTCAAGTTTGCGTTGATCAACCTCATTTGTTAACTTTTCCTTAATGATTTATTTCGATTTGTTTCTTGTTTAAAATTCTAATGTATTCACTATCAAGACAATAATATATTCAATTCATTGCTTGCTTTAATATCAATCTTTGTGAGGCGTGTTTAATAACAGGAAATTGAATAAAACTAAATTTTATTTTTCTGTTTGAACATATAGAAGTCAGTTCAGATCTATCTGACCTTGACTTGCCTATTGTGGGTCCTTATATTATACCTGAACTATTGCGAATTTATTCGGACAAACAGGTAATTTACTTTTTGAAAATTAAAATACCATACATATCCTTGTTGTAGAATGTTTTCATTTACTCATACATAATTAGTTACTCTATGAATTTCTAACAATGTTTTTTTGGTCAGAGGTTAGTTTTCAGTTAAAAGCAGAATGTTTATTATATATGCGATCAAACCCAGCGATTTTTCTGGTTGCTTCATCAGATTTTTGACCATTTGCATCGTTGTGGTAATATTACATTAGCTTGACGAAGATAATCTGATTGGTTCTCATTAGACTAGATGTTGGCCGGTCTTTCGCGCTTATAATAAATGTGCATTAACTCAAGTTCTTGCACTGCAATACTACGAGATGAAATGGTCGAGATGAATATTAGAGTAGTAGAAGTAATACTTAATAGGCGTAGTAGTATTATTAAGTATAGTAAAAACAATCAAACAGAAATATTGTTCTAGCATAACGGATGGATTCAGTTTGTCTGTCATACGCAACTTAGACACGGCTTCCTAGACCTTGATTGATTCTTTGAAAAACCGAGATATCTCTGCGGTGATGTTTCAAAATGAAGCTGGGTGACGTGGGTTTGAATCCCTCGGGTAGCATCTCCAATAATCTTATATCTACTCCTGTTATGTAATTGTTGGTCTCGCAATATTTCCATTGAATCATCTCTAGTCATACTTTCGGTTTGTCTTTCTTTTAGAAACATGATCAATCTACACGGCGGCGTGCAATTATCACGATTGATAATCTCTTAAACATCGCTGTTATGTGCCAAAATGAGGTTGGTAGCAATTCATTTTTTTATTTAAAGAAATATTTGTATGTTGTTATAATTCATTCAAGTTCCTGTGAGATATTGCGAAATTCAGTTAATAAAATAAATTTGAAATTGATCTTTACCATGTTCATCGCTAATGATCTTTCAGAGGATTATTAATCAGAATGTTGACTACAATGTGATCTTGTTCTGTTTTAGAGTCCTTCGGTAATTTACACTTGCATACATGATCATACAGAATGATTTTACGAATTGACTAAAGTTGGGTAACATAGCCTATGTTGTTCTTAAACAACATTTGAATGGACACATACTATCTAAAGCCAATATTCCTTCAAGACTGGCTTGCATCGACAACTGAACTAGTGACATAGTGAAGTAGTTGAGCATGTCGACCGCTTCACTTACCTCTGGAATCTCATCACCTCTGATGGCTTGGTGAGCGACAGAATCTCAGCACTCATATAGAAGGCTCGATTGGCTTTTGCCAAGTTGCGTCACCTATGGCGCAGTCGAGATATCCGTTTGCTGACTAAAGGACGAGTGTACTGCGCAGCAGTTCGCTTCGTACTACTTTATGTCTGCGAAACATGACCAGAGAGTTTTCCAACATTGTGGAATGAGTCGTTAGTTGTCCCTATCGTTAAAAGGGTTAACGTTATCTTTCTAACAACCATCGGAAGATAAGTCTACTACCGATTGTGTCCAAATTGTTGGCTTCCGTCATACTTCTTAGATTGTTCGAAACCGGAGAAAGATTGACTCGTGAGGAGCAGGCTGGTTTTCATTGTGATCGAGAATGTATTGATCATATCTTCACCCCCGCCAAATGTTAGAAGACTACCACACTTATCGCAGGCCAACAATCGTTGTGCTTCATTACATCAGGACTGCCTTCCTCTGAGGTTGCTTTTGAAGGGAGGTGTGTTGGAGAAGCTTATTAACCTCTTGAATTCCCTATATAAAAACACCTCAGGCAAAGCAACGGCATACAACCACCTCACAATGTTTTATCCAAGCAGTGGAGGTAGGTTGAGTCGCCCTATCTCACCATCGCTCTTCAATTTCGTCATCAGTCACGTCCCGGAAATAGCTCTGATGGATGTAAGTGAAAGTGGTGTTGATCTGTTACCTGGAGAAAGACTTTTCGACCTTGTTTTCCCTAGTCAAAAAAATTAGAAAGCTTTCTGTGTTCAGTTACTGTGATGGCAACGTCACGTTATAATGCAGAGGCTCAGCAGCGCGTGTTTGGGTACAGTAACAATAATTCAATTGTTGTCAATATCTTTAAACACCGACTTCTTTGGCTTGGATATATATTACGAATTTCGTCTCAAAGAATACCATATGGTGCATTATTTGCTGGGACTGTTTGCAAAAAGCGGAAAGGTGGTCAGTGTATGACATGGTGTTGCGGTGTGAAACAGCGGTACTAGACTAGCATCTGTTGGTCCCTTATGCTTCTGTCAGACAGACAGACAGAGACAAGGCAGAAATTCGTACGTACGTTGCCATACCGCATCAGCATAAAGTCGCAACTGTCGATTTGAATCGTATATTTCGTGAGCACCTCGTTAATGTTCTGTTTCTTTTCATTTTCCTCGTTTGCTTCTCTAACTTCAGCCACCTCGCTGCTTTCATGTATTGTCAGTGTGCCGTACTTTGTAATCACCTTCTTACTTCTTGTATCAATAATTGCTCCTACTTCTCTCAAGAAATCTGCTCCTAGTATTGGCCTCGACAAGTTCGTATTTACCACAAAGGGAAACTGTATTTCCGAATTGCCGATTTTCACGATATCATTTGAGACTCCTAGGATTTTTAACACGTGGCCTCCGATGGTGTTAACAACTAATGCACTAGGCCTGATACTTCTACACCGCTCTTTGTCTATTAACGAAACTGCCGCCCCTGTATCAATCAGGCACACTACCTCTCGCTCGTTTATCCCTACTCTCGCATAGACCGCCCCCTATCTACAACTGCCGCGACCCCCAGTTTCACAGGACATAAAGAACACCATGTATATGGTCTAAAATGTTTACGTTTTCGTCTTGTTGGGCAATTCCTCTACCAATGCCCGGTTCCTCCGCAAATATAGCATTTATTATTTCTTCCACCCTTTATTCGTAACGCTGCCACCTCGCGTTGTAATTATTCTATCTTCTTCACGACATCATCAGCCTGTCTTTCACACGCGACCGAGGCGACTGTTGAGTTCATCAGTTGTCTTGTTACTTAAGCCACCTCGGTGACGTCCATTGGTTGTGCCGCGTTCACCAGTCTCAACTGTTGGGCAACCTCTGCAGGCACACTTTCAATGAATTGCGACGCTAGCAGCTGTGCTTGCGACTCCTCATCTGAATTCGGCAGACCCCAGCGCAGCAATCTTGTCATCTCCACAGCCAGCACGAGTGGGTCGCCATCCACCGTCAGTCTCGCCTCTCGGAACTCCTGCAGCGCGTCTTGCCTATCCGCCGGGCTCTCGAACTCCACCAGCAGCCTTTCCGCCACCACCTCCCAGTCAGCGTCCTCCACGCCATCGTACACCGCCCTGCCTCTTAGTCGAGTCCCCAACACCACTGCCTTCGCCCTTCGCTCCTTGACTTCTATCAGCTCCGCCACGGCCTCGAACTCCTTCAAGAAGCTCCTTACATCTCCGTCTTCAAACTCCCGAGGCCATGGGATATTCATGCTGTTTAGAGGCAGCGACACCAACGGAGAAGTCTGAGGCAGGCGCGGAAGACTGTATTGTGCAAATTTACACTCTGAGTCAATTAAAATCGAACACTCTATTTGCACACCATCTTTGAGTCGTGACTTCCAACGCTCCATCCTTCTTCCATTCCTGTTGTTGCTTCCTTTCCTTCCTGTTGGTACTCCATTTACTTCTTGCTTTTGCTCCATTTGCTTTCCGTTTTCCTTTTCTGACCGTACGACTTCTTCTTTCACGTCCCTTCTTATACTACTTATATCGTTCGTATAAGTAGCACACACCACAGTCCTACAATGTCAATATGAACATAATCAAAGCGAGCATCATGCGTAACGACTGTGTCGATGGGGCTAGCTACGTGCCTGTACACTTTTGATCGTTGACATTGTAAGCATTGCTTCACCCACATACGGACATCTTTATTCATGGACGGCCAGACGTATCGTGCAGCGATGAGGCGTAATTTGGCTGTGATACCTGTATGAGACAGTCCATGAAGGGCATCGAAGACGAGATAACGATAAGCAGAGGGTATGATTGTTCTAGGAAGACCAGCAGAAGTATAGTATAGTATATAGAATACGTGAAAAAGCATCGGCAACGTAGTTTGACTCGCCTTTAATGTGTCGAAGGTCTGTCGTGAACTGAGAGATGTAGTTCAAATGTCTGCAATCTCGTGGTGAGAAGCGGTCAGACTTGGTATGCAGAGCATACGTTAGATACTTATGGTCGGTGAAGAGGATACAGTTACGACCTTCTACTGCGTGCTGGAAATGTTTGATGGTGAAGTAGGCTGCTAGCAGTTCGCTACCTAATGCTCTATATCTCGTCTCAGTGGGAATACGGCGTCGTGAGAAAAATTCGAGAGGTTGCCAACCTCCAGAGATGTCCTGTTGCATAACAGCTCCTGTAGAAAAATCCACATGTTGGAATACCCTTATGCTTAGTGATGTGACTCAAGAATCTTATTTCTGTCTTGCCCAGTTCACACTTGTCTGGGATCCCAACTGGACTGCGGTGTGGGCGAATGATTGTGCAGTGAAATAAACCTTCCTGTCCATTTCCTTATATCATACTCAGGCAAACTCCGTTTGTGCGACCAAATACGGTTTCGCGGTTGAATTTACTTCATTCATTCATCTATGCAGACAGACATGAGAATGGAAAGCTTAAAAGCAAAACGCTGCAAATTAGAGAAGGCTAGTTAGCCAACTCTCCTTGTGCTCAAGTATGACTAAGTATTGTTAGTCAGGCAATAATAAGCTAGACATGTGATAAGCGAGTAAGTATTAACACACAATCAAGTATCATATAATCGATACTGTAATCGAATTATTACAAATATAAAAATTGTTTGATACAATTATCGAATAATTATTGAAGTACAGAAACAGTAAACAAGGGTAAGTATCTTTGTTTCCGGAAAAATAAAAAACCGAAAATATCAAAATTTACGAAATTAATATGTAAGATAAAACTGTCTTGTAAGCACTTACAAATGCGTGTAAGCTTAAGTTCGTCTTTGAAAAATGTATTCCTTTATACATCTGTGTATGCTGTACAAATAAAACTAAATACGACGAACATAAGTGCTTTGAACAGAACATAAGCGAAAAATATTGTTTTCAATTAGATCATCATCATGCTTCACTATAATAATATCAATGAAAATGTTCAACCAATAAAGGCAATTTGAATGAACAATCACAATGAAATGAAACAGATTACGTCATTACACATAATAGTTAAAAGCATAAGTTGATAGTAGGAATGAATGTGTAATGTTAGTAGTAAGAAAAATAAAATACGTTTTACCTACTGTCTCCAATGTTGAACAATCGAAGAAACTTTTGTTATCGTTTTTTATTTTTTTTACTATTATCATTACACTTTCATTCCTATTATCAACTTGTACTTTTACCGATTATTTGTAGTGACGTATTCTATTTCATTTCATTGTGATTATTGACTCAAATTATCTTGATTGGTTTAACATTTTCACAGAAATATTCGTGTATATTAGAGTAAAGCCTGATGACGAACTAATCGCCTATATGTGCTGTTCTAAGTTTCACAATGGGAACCTTTGATAAAGATTGAGTGATCATTTTTTGTTATGTTATGCTGTCTTCGAGATCTGAGCGTTATAAGGGCTTAAACCCCCCGAAATTGCTACTTGAGTGCGGAGGAAAAAGCGAAGGGAAAGTTTATTTGACTGTCGAATAATATACATAAAGATTCAATTTTTATATATATATATATATGTATATATATATATTTGGAACGTGATTTCTGTACTTCAAATTACTATATTATCTTTAAGTGTTACATAATACGTATGACTTTAACTGAGGTTTACTTCCATGTTTGTCTATCATTCATGTAAATTGGTGAAATAGTTTTTCTGCTCGATCATTTTTTTGTCTCTTTGTAATATATTTCGTTCAAGGATATTTTAAATGATTTCGTTAATCGTTATATTTATCCGTCATTGGAAGCAATTATCAGTGATTTAACTAATTATGATGAAAATTCAACTATATCACAAGTATCACATAAAGGTGAACTTATACAAGTAAGTGATTTTTCAGATATTCGTTTAGTTTATATAATTAACTTGTAGTCACCTTATTAGCTAATATAGTGTTGATGATCTTTCTTATAGTAACTCAACAACTATTACTATTTAGTATTCTTTGAACACTGTATAGCAATTGTTCAACTAGTCTCCAGAATCAGGACACAGTTTATACAGTTGGTTAATTATATTCTTACAAATCACGTTGAATATGAAGGAATCTTAGTAGCAAAAACTCTAGTATACTTATGATTTTTACACAGGAATATTCTCGAATCTTCTCCAGTTTACCGCTTGTGCTGGTTGGCACATTCTTAACTCCAACATAATCCGGGATTGAACATACTTCTATCTACGACCTGTTAACACAGATTATCCTATAAATTGTAGCCCAAGTTTATGCTTTTTCTTGTGTTGACTTTTCCGAGCTAGATAGTTTAATTGAGAAGCTTTGATCGACATTCTGGATAGACTACATTATGTAGTAGTGAGTTTTCTAGTTATTCCATAAGTTCTTAATTTGTTTATTCTCATGGCGTTGTTTGCAATATGCTGTCCTCGTACGTTTTGTCGTCATTTACACTTGTATTCACGCTGAACATTGTCGCTGGTTGACTTCCAGCATTGTAATTGATTGATTTTTTCCTTGTAAGTTCATAAATTGAATCTCTGTCACTGCGTCTGTTGGTCGCTGATTCCCTTGCTTCTAGAAACCACTGAGCCGGCATCGGCCGATGGTAATGTCTAACTCTGATCAATCTAGGGATTTCGAGGGACCTCAACCATTTGTTATCTGTAGTTTCTGACTACATCTGACAGGTTTGAACTCCACTAGTCACGTCTTCCCTCTATAACTTCCTCATCAAGCTAGTCAATAGTGAGCACATTGTTCTCTCATGAATACGACGTCACTATGGAGCCTTCTTCGACACTACAGTGTACCTGAGACGGTAGTCAACATCATACGAAATTCTTATGATTGATTTGATTGCCAGATCATGCATAGAAGACAGCCCACAGACTCATTTCAAGTGGACCTCAATGTCAGGTAAGTTTGCTTCCTCTCACCCCTTTTCTTTCCTCTGGTGATCGACTGTGTTATGAAGACGTTAACATTTCAGTGGAAACACGGAATATGGTGGACAGCTCAGATGCAGCTAGACAATCCGGACTACTCAGATAACCTAGCTCTTGCATCCCAAGCGCAACAGCCAATGCAGGTGAAGAAGGACAGTCTGGCAGAAACCTCTATAGCAGTAGGGGAAAAAGTAAGTTCCTTAAATACAACACAATGCACCAACAAAACCACACTTTATAGAGAAGTTTTCGAAGATATGGAAATCTTTACATCATTAAACAGCATCACTGATAAACGCAGTAGATCTGACGCAGATATAAAGACATAGATTAGCACAGCAAGGGCACTATCTCTACAATTGAAGAACCTCTGGAACTCAAAACAACCACCAGTCAACACGAACGTCAAGACAGTTCTATTGTATGAGAAGGAAACTTAAGAACCCTAAAAGATGTCATCCAAATGATGCAGGTGTTTATTAACAGTTGTTTACACAAACTACATCGGATCCGTTGGACAGACACTATCAGCAACAGCCTACTATGGGAAAGAACAAACCAGATTCCAGCTGAGGAAGAAATTAGGAAAAAGCGCCGGAGGTGTATAGGACGCATTGCAGAAATCATCCAACTGCGTCACAAGACAAACACTCACATGGAATCCTCAAGGAGAGAAAAGGAGGAAAACCAGAGAACACATTCGACCGAGGGTTGGAGGCAGACATAAGAAGAACGAATAGCTGTTGGGTAGAACTGGAAAAGAAGTTTCATGACAGATTTGGTTGGGAGAGTGTTGATCGGTTGCCTATGCTCCATTAGGGGTAGCAACGTAAGTAAGTAAGTTTTCTCATGAATAATTTCATTGTAAAAAAAGTCATGTTCAACTATTTTATCAAACTAAGTTTATACAGTAGCTTAATTTATCTTATTTTTATTTATCCAGCTTTTAACTACACTTTGCGTAGAAAATCGCAAATTTTTTTCAAATTTTCCTGGTTATAATAAATCACAAATGATTAATATAATGTTAACTTTGGTTGTATCCTGTGTTAAACAATATACGGAATTAAAAATTGCTTCCAACTCTACAAATGACGAAAAAGAGGAATATGATTCTGATGGTGGGTTTTTCTTCATTAAAAAAATGTCGTTTCATGTTATTAGAAAATAGTTTGAATCTTCTTCTCGTTTGATGTTCAGAACTAAATGTTGTTCACTCTTCGTCGATATGTATGTATGTACTTTCTGAGCGAATTGCTCTGATATAACAGTTTTCGTAAGTTTATTTTTTGGTAGATATGTTCTGGGTAGCTTTGGAGTTCAGAATCCTGGGTTCCTAATGTTAATGTCCATATCAGCACATGAAAGTACCCAGATATACTGGTTCTGAACCGATTTATTGGTTAATTCCTACTGGTCAATATTATGGTCATCCTAATTATTAATGTCATAGACTTCGATGCTGTTTCCTTCTCGACCTAAATGTATAAATACGCATTATCTGTAACGTTTTATGGACCGGATCCTTATTCCGGGATCCTGATTCTCTTCTGGACTTGAACCTCGTACTTTCTGAATGGTTGTAGAATACAGGCTCTACTTCACATCAAATCTTCTTCTTTCACTCAATGGGGGTTGGGGCACTCGGATCATAGTAGCATGTCGTGTCGCCAGATCCTCGAACCTCGCTCTCGTTTTCGTACTAAGGTAAACTCGTAATAATAATTCAAGCATATCAAACGACGTGTTTATGTGCATTCGTAACAGTATACTGGTTGATAAACATAATTAATAGTATATCTATATAAGAGCAAGCTGTTATTAATCATCCGTGATTTGGTATTATACTTGATTGATTCTCTAGTCCGTTTTTCAAATTTGCATCTTGATTTTAGTTGTTTATAATGACAATAGCTTCTTTCCTAGATATTTGTTCATATGCTGTGATTGACTCAATAATTCTTAAATGTTTAGTTTGTTTTTTCTTTTGTATTTATTGGACTACAGGGGAAATATTGGATTATGATTCATTTGTTTATAGTATTTTACAGTGTTTAACTAGTCTTATATCATCGAAATCCAAAAAATCCATCATCAATCATCTTGATGAACTGTGCTTTCAATTATGTCAGCTTGTTCAACTACCGGAGAAAACAGTAAGTTGTTGACACATTTATCAAGTCTATTTACATTTAAATGTTTATGTAGAATGGTTTCATAGTTGCAAAAAATTGATATGATAATCATTTAGTTTGTAGCATACTGTAGTTTAAAGAGGGAAAAGTTCCTCTTTTGTCACTAAAATAAATTCTCAAAAAACTTGAAAACCATGTAGCATAATATCTTATAGTCCTTAGATTCTGGCTAAATATTGCATGTTTCACTGGCGCAATTCATTCATATTTATGATCTAATATACTTCATTTTGTTTTAGAGAATCTTACTTTATTAAATAAGTCATTTTTATGTTAGTTGGACAAAATTTCTTGTTAAATAATAGTACAGTTAGTGGTATATGATCTTGATGGGAATTTAAATAATTAATTGGTAATTGTATTCCAGTTAATCATAACATCGTTTCAATGGTTTGAATAAACACATGTTAAGCTATTGTGCTCTATTCCCATAACGTTCCAACTTTGGGTGGTGACTAGAACTTGAGTCCATGATGTATGTTTCTTCCTGTTTTCAGCTTGTTAGCTGAAAATACCACATCCTCAATATCAATTTTCACCGGGAAATTGAACTTAGTCCCAGTAGGGCATCAGAGGCTGATTGGTTATTTCGTTTGAATATGAAAAAAGAAAACAAAATCTATCATAACAGTGATTACCATCATTTTTTCAACTTTGCCAATTTACGTAGCATTATTATAATTTCAGATTTAATTTTAAAGTACCTCTTTGTTCATAAATTTACTTTACACCTTTCTTCATGATCGCTAGTCGTTTTTATCCATTCCAATCCTAATATCACGTGGCCTCGATACTTATCTTTTTGTTTATGTTAATTTGTACATTTCCGGAGAATTCCATCCCGCAGTTATATATTTGAAAACGAATAACGTCCAAAGATTGTTTTAACTTCTCTGTGTATTTATACTTAACAGAATATAAATAATTAGCGTTACTATAGTAATTAGTAATTAGTTATGTTTAACTCACAGTTGAAAGTAATGAAATCATCAATTACAAACATGTCTCAACGAACACAGACAAAACAATAGCCGGTTCAACATGAACAACTTAATGGGACTTGTATCAACCAATAAGAAAAGTTTACCAGTTACGTTTTTAACTAATAAAATAAGAGGGGATAAATTTTAGTTACTCATAAGTAGCATAGTTATAATATTAAAGATTCCTACCCTGCAAATCAAGATAGCACATGGATAAACTATAATAATATCATTTGGATTTTCACCAGGTCTTATTCCAATATACAATGATATTTATGTAGTTAATGAAATTATTAAGCCGACCAGAGCAGTTTGCGCAACCATTGACTGCAGTGAAATATATCACAAACAAGTAAAATGTACGGTAGTTTGATGACTACTGTTAAGAGTAATAAACGCTCGAATCAATGTTTCACTATAGGAAGTGGTTTAAACGGCTTGAGAATCTAGAGACATACAATATCAATTTTAGTCATAAGATTACATAGTTGGAAGTGCTCAGGTGATTGGATACTGGGGCGTATATTTGAAAAAAGATGGTGGACAGGAAAAAAAAAGAGAGTATGATAAATTATAACAAGTCGTTTCATAAGGTATATTCGACCAAGGATGAAATATAAATGTCATAAATTTCTTATGGGCACAAAGACTTGGATTGTTTGCTCAAATCCCTATCACAAGGGAGCAAGATCTAGAAATATCCGTTTCCTATTTCGATTCATATGTTTTATCTTGGAAATGAAATGAAAACTGTTTTAGCGCTTCCGTCATCGGCTATTTTGCGTAAGAAATCCAGTATTCGAGCTTACCTTTTTTCAGTTTTATGATATAGAGAATTACACATATCAAAAACTAGACGAAGATGAAGTTCAATTACATAAATTCAACTGGATTATGAATGGTAGTAGTAACTATCCCTTTATCTTTGAATTATTTCAGCTGATTAGTTAGTAGTTTTTCTGCTTTCATACTTCGATATTTAACGTCGCTGAGTTTGAAATTTAGACGGATTATTCGCAATTGATATTGTTTGGTGAGTTCTGATGTCACGGTATTTTCGTATTGTTGCTAAACGTCAGCCAGCATAGTTTTAAATCTAGTGAATTCCTCGAATGAGGTTGGGACCAAATCAGTTGTTTGGGAAAATAAATTCTCAAACCATACGTCAGTATTTACTTGGCTAATACTGATTCCATAATCACAGAACCGCAAGAAATACAGCCTGTAACTGTACTACCTCAATATTGGAAAAATTATGGACTCACCGCATCGGGTCTAAAGGAAATTTCTTCCTTGGTTTTTGGTTTTTCAAAGTCTTCACTAATTTCGTCTCTGTTTCACTAGATTTACTCTTGGGCACTATTTCAACATAATCCATAAGCATTGACTAAATCTCTGATGGTTGGTTTTTTAACAGAATATTGTCCCTGTCGGAGATTCCTTCCCAATGCACTGATATTCATTTTTAAAGTGTCTATTTGATTAGTTAAGTCATTTGTGGAGGTTTTCACTGATATCTTATTTTTGTGCGACAATAAAGCTGGAAATTTGGTCCAATAGCATCTCTGAATATGTTGTCGATTCTGAAGAACTGCTTGGTTATTCCGTTCGTCTAGTTACTATGGATTTAATCAAGGTTAGCTTAATCATTTCATTCTTACAACCTGATTGAATTTTAGTACAATACTTACCTTTACTTCAGATATGGGACTTTCCGAAACCCTTTCTTAATTTCATTAAATGTGTTCATATTTTCTTGCTGGCAGTTTTCATTAGTCTCTGCTTTTTTGTGTAAATAGATTTTGTCATTAAAATAATGGTGTAGTGTCGAGCTTAAAACAGTGGCGACGAATTTCCAACCAGTTCTTAGACAACTCAGATTATAGTCTTTGTGAATGGATAGCTTATGGAAAATAAAACGATTATATTCCAGTATAAACTGGTTTTGCATATTTATTCAGTTTATTTAAGATTTCTACAGATTGCTACTTGCGTTAATTGAAATGAAAAAATAAACATCATTTCGTCCTAGCGACGAACATAGATTATCCGTCTTCTCGAGAACATAAGCAGATTTATAGCGCCTCACATACATTTGAGTGCGTTTGAATTATTCAGTAATAGTATTGACCATTTTTTATATTTGTAATAATTCAATAACATTATCGATTATTTTGTATTTGTGTGTGCATATCTACCAGCCTATTATTGTCCGACTATAAATGCTTAACCATGCTCAGTGCATTTGAGTTGGCGTACTCTCCTCAAATTTGCATCGCTTTGTTTGTACGGTTTTCATTCTCATATCTGCCCATATGAACGCTTTAAATTAATCCATCTGCAAAAGCGTATTTGGCTTTTTATTATCGTCGTCACACAAACGGTGTTTCCTAAGTATGATATACGAAAATGCAAAGAATTACTTCGTCACATACTTGATCATTAGTCCGAACTGTAGTCAAATCACAGGCCACTGATGATTTTTAAGAGTAATTGCATTGTTTCTGGTCAACACTAGTTGTTTAGAGTAAGCTGCTATCAGCTTTGATGTGAAAATGCTCTTCATCCTCATTTATATGGGTGTTACAATTCTCTCTTTATTACAACCCAGCTATTCCTATTATTCTTAGTATTCTCGGACGCCAATTCACTCGAGACGTTCTCCCAAATCAGGACACTGTTGAGCAGGAAATAGATTATATTCCAATAACAAAGCTAGATAGAGGACAGAAGGTCCAAAGGAAAAAGACGTTAGTGTATATATAGGTTTCTTACATGAGAAGATTCTAGAATGTTCCCTCAGTATCAACTGGCGCTGATTTGATACGAAAGAGTCAATCAGCGTGCAGAAACGCAATCATCCTTTTAATCTAATCAACGTCCCATCAACAATGGGTGAGTTTCAGACAAAAATGAAAAAGGTGTTATCTAATTAATTTATCCACAAAGAACAGTGGAATCAAGGAAGCAAGTTTTGACCCGAAAAATACCCAGATCTGTATATTTATATATTAGTAAGTGATGGTATCTTCACCATACCAACTAAACACAAATAACAACTTAATAAACGAAAAAATGTCATTGTAGTTACGATGATAATGATAATTATTCTGACAACATTTTTCAGGTGACGTAGTGTATTCATATTGATAGTGATATAAGTGATGCTCACCTCGAGGCAGCTTCGAATAATATCCAAAGAGCTCGGAAACAGAAGTGGTATCTGCCAGTAAGTTAACCCACAATCCAGGAGGAGCATTGTATTTTAGTAGCGTCCACTGAAGTGACAGTCGCTCGGATACTCATCTAATCGGGTTCTGAACACGATGAGGAGCGAAGATAACATAAAAACAACTGTTTAAAAGCCTACTCAATGATCGTGAACAATAGTGGGTAGCAAAAGTAAAAGAGATGGAAAAGGCGGCGATGATAGCTAACAATTGACAATTGTTCACACTTATCAAGGAAACCAGTATTAAAAATCCGACATTTAGTGAAGCTACGTTGGAAAAAGAATTGCCAATAATTTGCTATCCAGGAGATCGGATCGATAGGTAGAACACTTTAGAGAGAAGTTCAACTAGTCTTCAGCCAGACTTCAGTTATCCACAATCTGCAGCCAACCGCTCGAATTCTAATGCAGTTTGCACAATTAGAGATTTTTATAATCTCTTTTCGTCCGAATTTAGCACTTGTTATCATTCATTATAATCATCAACCGATCAATGTTAAACTGCTGTTGGAAACTTTGAAGCTTTAGATAGCCGTTTCAGTGGTGGTCTTACACTGATTAGTTCATGATTTCACTGAAACTCAACTATTTTCGTTGCCCCTTACTAATACTTATTATCATCGCTACTGTGAATTATACTACTTTTTAATCTTAGTAGTTGCAGACACTGCGTCGTGTATAGTGTTTCTCAATTTTTAATTTGACAGAAAATTGCATGCAATATTCAAGATGGAGTTCAGTTTATCAACTGTTCAATTAACAAAATTTTAATACTTTCAGAACGCTTACATAACAAAAATGTTCCACATTGGTAAGTGGTGTAATTTGTCTTAAATTTTCTTATATTGTTATGTGATGTTTCTTTTTCAAATCGGTGAATATTTTTGAGTAATACGAATAAAATAAACATTCTTGGTTAGAGGAGTTTGATTAACGTTGAATGTTGTCCGCGCTTTTTAATGGTTAATAATCTAGTAGTATAGTTGTTACACCACCATTAGAAACCTGAATCACTGGAAATTTGTTTCGTCCCATTGTGGGACTCATCAACTGTGTGTACGCACGACTTCCGCAATTGGCAATCGAACCCACGACCTTCAGTTTCTCATCCGTACACTTAACCTGGTATCGAACATTGTTTCTCTAACTCCTATCAAGCCACGTTATTGCGCAACCTCATCCATTATCTTCGGTGGGTAACCGCTTCACACACTACTTACCTGAACTCCACTGATCAGGGCTTCTTATTAGTACTTCGCAAATTTACTCACGAAACTAGTCACAAGTGAGTTCTCGATACTTCTCATTTTGAGTTTGTGGAAATTGTTGACTTCTGTTGAAATAATGAATCGATCAATCTTAGATCACCATATAGTTTAGTCAACATTTGATAACAGTCATCAGTACTCTTGAGTACAGTAGTGTGTGGAATATGTAAGAATAACTGAATCCCAGGATTGAGCATTGGCTTAATTTTTTGTATTCTCAGTAACATTTGTAATGTAATAAAGCACTAACGCAATTCAGTATCATAAATTTGATACCCGTGCGATGAATTACTGTCCTGGAACTTAGTAGTGTAACCCCCCCAACTCTTATGCCGTTTGTCATTTCAGGTATTTTTTTGTATTTTAATATATTTCGTAAGTTTTCAGTATCATATGATTCTGTTACAACTTAAACATAGTTTCTCTTCACACTGAGACATCCTATTCAAGAACCTCTAGACAGGCCTCAAGTTATATAGTTTTATTTGTTAGTGCGACCGCTTTTTTAAACCCACTTCTGCCTGTTGACCTCTGTTATTATTTGATTGATCATTTTCGCTCTTAGTTTACTAGTATCGTCTTGCCTTAAAGTTGTAGTCGTTACTATATAAATAGTTGTTTGTTCTATTTGACATCAGGCTTTTTCTGGATTTCTTTCTCTCTCCAATCATGTAAAATAAAATACTGTTTGATAAGTTTGTAATCATCCTTTTACTCTTTGTATTAGACTGATCTCTCGATTGATTGTTATTCAGAATGATCATAATCTATCAAAAAACAGAACAAAAAAATTCTTCATCATGATAGGTGAGCTCGACCACTACGTCAAGGTAGCAACTACGTTCGGGTTTATATTATATTACTGGTTATTCAATAACCTAAAATACTATTTAAAGAGTTATGACCATTAAATTACTGTTTTTACCTTTCATAACACACACCTCATGCCTTAAATATCTCAATTTCTTCAAGGTAACTCACTCCTCTGTTACACATGATGTTTGTAGTTTCATGAAAAATTTCGTGATATAGCAAGTTAACACAAAATCTGAATCGTTACGTTGATTCTTTTGTGAAAATTATTTCTTCTCATAGTTAGCATCATGTAATGACTTAAGTTAACAAATCATTGAAAACCTCAGTGGCAGTACTCATCCATGCATCTATTGTCAATCAAACTCAAAACGTTTTTGTTGTTCATTTAAAAAATATTTTAAAAGATGTTTATTGTTTTCTTCTGTAGGTGGAAATTACTTGAAAGTAGTCTTTATATCAGTGGTAATTTAGCTTCGAATTCTATCAATATATTCAGTTGTAACAGGAAACCGATGCGTCAAAACTTAAACAATATATCCAATTCATGTTTTATTGAATTTGATGTTTTTTATGCAAACTATTTGGATCCAAGCTTAAAACAAAATGGTCAGTACTTCATTTATGGAGTTATCTCGTGTTTTCTGAACTGAGACTGATCAATAATGGCATATTTTTTTAACATGTTCATTATATTTATTGTATCCTGCTCTTAAACCGGCGGTGCACATGACTTCCACTATCCTGAAGTGTAAAAATGGTATACGGACCTATTGTTCGTCACTAGCTGCCATGTGACTGAATCTTCTGACATAGCTTCACTGCCTAGTGGATTAGAGCTGTTGGTTAAAGGTTCCGGGATCGGCACTGAGAAACCACCTGTTTCAGTTTGGGTACCCGATCACTATCCCAACCCACACAAAAATCCACCGATTTGTGTGGTACATAACATTTAAGTTGCTTCTTTGTACCAAATGTCCATATATTCTTAGACAAATCTACTTCAAATATTTTCAGAATTGCTGATATATGACCAACAAATAAAACCAAATAATTATTTGTTTAAGCGACATTTTGTTGACGAACATAATTAGGTGATCGGAAGTAGTCGACAAAAACCCTTATTTGACCTTGATTTTATGGTAATTGCGGTTCGCTAACTGAGTTTTGTTTATTTACAATGTTCAAAGTTCTGATACAACCTAAGAGATTTAAACCAATGAATATTGCGGAAAAATATTGTTTCATAATATGTTATGATGTATAAGTAAGTTATATAAAAAGACGATACTATATTTTGACAATTATTATCAAGAAAATTAATTGGCTACTGGCGGTTGAAGCGTTAGTTTTGTCAGGTACCATTTACTTAAAATTCCTGTCAAATGGATTTCTATCGAACTGATTTTTTTGTTAAATATTTCTATCTAAAAGATTTAATTTATTTACTTTTTAATTCACACTATTTATTGGCTGATCTGGAATTAAAGATTGTCTCAATTTCACGAAAGCATTATTTCATAAGCCTCATTATTCTTCAGACAGTTGGGATTGTCTGTCTCTGAAATACACAGCCGTTGTACTCCTTCTTTTAATCAGATAGCTTGAAGCAACATTCGATGAGCAGTTTGATAAATATATGCTGAAGTTATAGTTTACTTTGTGCAATGTGATCTAGATCTTTTCATTCTCCAAAATAACTTCATTACGACAACATACTTTTTTTGCTAATTAACCCATGGAAATAAATGAAAACATGCTAGTCAGTTTATTATTTTATTTGTAAGAATATACTATATTTCATAATAAGGGTTTTCCTCTGTTTTCTCCTCTTTTGGTTCTATAGATTTCCCGTTTCTCCAAGCAACAGCACTTCGTTGTATGTCTCATTTGTATGCAGCTAATATTTTAAACGAATTTCAAGCACAATGGTAAATGTTTCTTTCATCGACAAATCACACTTACAACTGTTCTATTCACCATTAAAATCTAATAATATAGTATAGATGCTTTTTTCATTTTATCGAACCCATAAAAAACTGTTTTCTTTAAACTCGAAAACGTTTAATTTTCCATCAGTTTAAAAACTATATTCCCAAGTTTCGAAATGGTTATGATTATAAATAATGGTTGAATAAAACAATGCTGTTATATATTCATACTTTCTTATATTACCGATTTGGTCAGTATACTTGATTATAAATTTCACTTTTTACTTATTCAAACCATTAATCTTCTCTTTCATTGATATTATGGGCTGATCACTGTTAGATCACCACTGGAAAACTAAACGACACAACAACCGTCTAGTGCTTCCAGGTTTCCAATGGCAGTCTAACATTGATCATGGTTTCAATGAAACTCAGCAATCTCCACAACCTCATATTGACAATCTTCTCTTTGTCTAATAATTTGATGACTGAACTGTAACCGATATCCTGCTTAGTGTATACAGCTCCTATTTGACCGATCAGGATAAGAGGCTAGCAGACTATTACTCAATAAAGAATAATACAATATTTCTCCGTAAAACAATTTTAAAATTTTTATCTCTCATAGTTATTCGCCTTGATCTAACAAGTACACTTTGCGGTTGATCGTTAACTCTAGTTCATAATGCAATACTACTCTCAAGTAAATAATAGATTTTGACATTGTTTTAGAGCTGTGTATTCATTACAACTGTCAGTTTCTTTAGAACATCAGCAAAAATAACTATACATCACAGGAATAATTACTTTTAGTTTCGCTTTTCAAGTTGAGGCATCAGTATGAACAAACTAAGATTACTGATAAATGAATCCTCTCTCCATTCAGTTAAACAAGGCAGTTAGTCTATAAGATAAGCTTGGTGCCCGATAAAATAGCATACCTATGTACAAAATATTCATAGGATAATAAATATGATCAAATACCACAGGCGATTTGATATTATCACTATCATGGATCATTCTTCTAACACAATGAAAACTTGGGTCATCATATTGCCTCTTTCTCTCTACGAAACAATGTAGCATCTTGCCTTGGGACAATATGAACAAAACGTTGATGTTTTGTTTGACGTATTTCATTTGTCATAGCTTCGCGTTCCTCTTTACTTTGTTTTAAGGCAATCGGATATTATTATCAGCTTTCACACAAACTATGTGACTCAATACATACAGTACACCAGTCTATACTTGGTTATATTTTTCTAAATCTTTTTTATTTTACTTTTTGACGTTTATTTCAATTAATTAGTGAATTTCCTTTTACCTGAATTTTTTCCAGTTTTCCAAGTCTAGTTTCAAATGCAATGTCTGCTACACAATCATCTATATTGAAAATTTCTGGTATGCATTCACTTGATACACTTCGTGCAAATCAGAACGGCATAAAAAGGCCGATAGAAAATAATACAACAACAACATCGTCTGTATTTATTACAAATTATGTTGTACCGCATTTGTGTAATTTAATATCGAATTTATTGGAATGTTTATCCACTTTTGGTGAACCAGTTTTAGATATTGGTTTATGTGGATTATACAAATTGTTGTGTATTGATTTACATCAATTTACTCATTCTATTATTGCCCAAATAATTCCTATTATGGTAGGATTATTTAAACATTGTTTCTGTGGTAAGATTTCTCTTGTGTGTGTTTTTCTAGAAATTTTATGTCCTACTTATTATTATATCTCACTCAAGCTAGACCTATTAATCGCCTATCCATACATCTTTCTCCTTCTTCAGTGTTGAGTTAGAAGAGAAGTCTGAGATGGTGGAGAAAGTTTGTAACTCAGGTGGACGATTGTGGTGGTGTTTCGTTCTTTGAGCTGAATGTTTTGGTTGTGGAGCTTTGATTGTTCTTCTGAATAATATCAGCACAAACTTCAGATAGAAGTGAAGTATTCACATTTCTCCACGATCGACTGGTAGCTTGTTCTGTTAACTTCAATCTTAATTGTTTGCTGTTGACCTTGATACCTGTCGTTGTTTGCACCTTTGTTTTGATTGTATCCGCTTTTGATCCGTTTCTTGATACCATGTTGCCTATAGTTTTTCTGATTAGTTGATAAATTGGGTCAGTGTCGATGTGTTTGTTGATTGCTGATTGACCTGAGTGCCAAGCTTCTAAAAATTCTCTAGTGTTGTTTTTGCTCCCCCCCCCCATTCAGTATTTCCACATTGTTCCAAGCGTATGTATGTTCATAATTGTCCGTATGTATTGATATAAGCGAAGAATTGTCGTGGCGTTTGACTGTTAATTGGTGTTCACGTAAACGAAGCTGGAGAGGTCGTCCACTTTGTTCTATGTAGTATTTTTCACAGTCTGAGCAATTTATTTTGTGGATGATATTTGGTTTTTCTTCCTTTATTATTTTGTCCTTTGGTCTGCATATGATTGATTGAAGTGAATTTGTTGGTTTATGTGCCACACGTATTCCAAATGGTTTCAGAAGTCGTGCTGTATGTTCCGATATGTCTTTTATGTATGGTAGGATGATCCGTTTATTGGTTCCTGTACTTGACTTCGCTTCTGTTGACGATTTCAGTTGATGTTTTTTGATGAAGTTACGTGGATAGTCGTTCCTTTGAAAGATAGTCATCAGATGCTTGACTTGAGAAGTCTGCAAACATGCTCCTACTGTTATTATTATTATTATTATTATGATTATTATTATTATTATTATTATCGAACTATCCAATCCTGTCGTCGTTCCAAATTTTTTTAGCCGCAACAACACTTTCGTATTATACAAAAATAATTCGTGTTCTGTATAAAGTAGCCAGTTTGAACAAAGAATCAACTGAAGCAATTGAAAATGCATTTCTACCTACTTTAATTACTTATTTAGAGAATCATGAAGGATCAGAGAGTGGTGGCGTTGAAGTAAGTACAAAGAAGTAATTTATTGCGACTATTTATATTGCATTGGTAACTATGTCAAATAATAGGACAGTAAAAATATTTTCTTTCCACATTACATTATGATAATAGGACCAGTGGTTGAGATCATACTACTAACTAGACTGAACAAAATTCTGTACACAAACGGAGTCATGTTATATGTATGTGATTTGCGACCAAGTATAAAGAACCAGAATGTACTTACTTATGCTTGTTATCCTTCTTAGAGAATAGGCTGCCGAATAGCAACCTTCAACCCATTCTCTCCTGAGCTCTCTAGTTCTTGCCACATGCTGTTCATTCTTCTGATGTCTGCTTTCGATTCTATGTACAATGTGTTCTTTGGTCTTCCACTCTGCCTTTCGCCTTGAAGATTTCAAGTTAGGGCTTGCCTTCTGACGCAGTTTTATGATTTCCACAATGTGTGGCCTATCCACTTCCAGCAGTTTTTACCTTAATTTTCTTCTTCAGTTGCAAGCTGGTTTGCCCTCAGACACAGAAGATTTTTGCTTGTGGTGTATAGCCAACGAATCAGCAGCTTCCTATGTAGAAAATTGTTTACAAACACTTGCGTGTTTTAGATGATGTATTTTGTCGTTCTGCAACTTTCTACTCCATACAAAAGAACTGTCTAGGCATTCGTATCGAAAACACACCACAAGCAACAGTCTTCTGTATCTGAGGGCAAACCAGCTTGCAACTGAAGAAGAAAATTAAGGTAAAAACTGCTGGAGGTGGATAGGCCACACATTGTGGAAATCATAAAACTGCGTCAGAAGACAAGCCCCAACTTGAAATCAGCTAAATACATTTTTTATGCATAAGTTATGTTTCATGAAGAATAAATAGTATTTCAAAACTTTTGTGACTTCGTTTAAGTTGTAGTGGTCAGACTGGTAGTTTTATATTTTGTATATCGCCACACTTATTCGATAAAAATCATTTTAATATATTTAATTTGACTACTGAATCATCTTTTTAAAATATGGAGTATATTATGTTATTAGGAAATTTTTTGTGTTGTAATAGGCAGTCTTGAAGGTATTCAGTGTATTGATCATTCCATCAGATTTTGGAATTAGTTCCGCCTTAATTCAGAGAGTATTTCCAGCTATCGTACATATCGCTATTACAAGTACCGATGCTGTAATGATTTCTGTGAGTTGTTGCTTAACTTATTTCATTTGTTTTTCATACATTTATCATTAACTTGATTTTGTGAAAAGGTTGAAATATACACTCTTTTAAAGCTTAAATTTATTAGTTCACTCAGTTATTTCCGATAATATTCAGTCAATCAGTCAGTACAACATAGGACTTTGTACGTACGTTCATCAGTTCACTTTTCCATACCACATTAGCACAGGTACGCAATTGTTACTTCAAATCCCATATTAGTAGACATAGTAGAAGTATTAGCAGTAATCAAAACGATTGGGATTCAAAGATATTATTCAAGCAGGATAGTCCAGTGAAATAAACTTACAAACAGAAAGAGAAGGGTCACAAATAATTCATAAGATTATAATTCAGGAGAACACAAGCAATGGATGCACCTGCGTCATCCCATGCGATTTTGAGACATGTCGTTCAAGGTCTCTAACCATCGGTTACTATTGACTCGCGGACCAAACCACGTAGCCTACAACTACCAACATGCCTCAGTCTAGTTGTTAGTGACTCTATCGATTTGTGCCATGTTTTTTCTTTGGCCACCCTTACATTCCTTCCCGACTTACCCCTGCATCATCAAACATCATTCGTCTCAGCAGTCGTTGGTCAGAATCAGTTCCTATGAAAGTTCGCCATAAGCTCTCACTCGACCAGTAGTGTTTTAGTACAGAGGTTCTATAAGTTTAATATACTTTTTTGGTACACTTTCCACTGCCATGTAACCTCACAATCGACAGAGTCATGTGCCGCCTTAAGGTCAAGTAATACAACTATTGGACGCCTGAATGTGTGTCTATGTCCCAGGTCCTGTCGTAGTGTGAGAATGTGGTCTATACAACCACGTCCAGGTCGAAAACCAGCCTGGTTTTCTCGAGTCTGCTCTTCACGAGCGCCAGTTTGGCGTCGAAATATTATTGATTTTCCTTTCTTATAGATTGGGACAATCAGCGATTGAGACTAGTCACATCGGATTACGTCCAGTTCTCGAATTCTACCTAAGAACTCACTCACTCTAACGACTAAAACTGAACCACCGTCATTGAAAATTTCAGGCGTCAATCTCTCTGTGACTGCTACTCTCTATCGTTTCAGATTTACTAGAGCCTTTTCATCTTAAACAAGATTTGGACGACTTAGGTCGATTTGCCATTCAGAATGACTGTAACTGTAGTGTGGCTGAAGGCCAGTTGAACTGGTCCCTGAAGTATTCTGCCCATCGATTGAATCTCCTGTATTGAGAATGAATAATAAGCCCATCGTTTTCCGGGATAGTCTCACTAACAGTCGGATTCCTAAAACCGGTTTCCCTGATGAGTCTGAATAGTAGTCTGCTTTTGCCTATCGTCGTTGCCTTATCCATCTCCCTTGCTTTCGCTACCCACCACTGTTCGCGATCATTGCGTAGGCTTTTTACCAGCCTGCGCTTAAGCTGACTTTGCTCCTTATCGCATCCAGAGGCAGGCGAGATGAGCTTCTGTCAGGTTGGTGGATGCTACTGAGATCCACTGCTGCTTCCTAGCCTAATGGTTTATCTTACTAGCAGATATCTCTGCTGTTTCCACACACTTTTGGATATCATTCCAAGCTGTCTCGGGATGTGCATCGCTTACTTCATGGCTGCCTAACTGTTTTTCTAGTTGCCACTGACATATATTCTTGGATTTAATTTTTTGTATCAGCGTCGTCAGATGGTAAACCAATGTTAGACTATTAGGTCATGGATGCAAGAGGGTTAATAATAGCTTTAGGAAGGATTTGATTGTGAATTGGTCTCGTGTGCTATTATGGTTATTAGAGCGGATGTCATTTCCCGGCTATCTACACCGTGAAGTAGTGTTTTTTTTGGGAACCTGAAATGAAAGGTAGATTACTGTCAGTCTTATTGATTTGAATGCATGAACACAGAGCCGGAGGAACAACTGCTTGTGGCCGGTCACATGCATACTTTTTACGCGGAGTTTTTGAAATGTTAGCTCTTCTCTTCAAGTGTCCTTACCGCCGGAGACGGAAATCCGCAAGGTAAGATGTGCGACATTTTTCGGGTCGACCTTTTTTAACCCCCTTCTTTCGTTGTGAGTAGGCAGCATCACTGCAGATGCTGGTTGTCCAAGGGAAACACCTTACTGCTCTCGCGCCTCTCGACAGTCAGAAGTACGACTTCGCCCTCAGACCTTGAGTAGCTGCTTTTAGTCTCACCGTTTTCCAATCAAACTTCCTTTCATGGTAGAACCTACAGGATCAAATGTTCCAGCCAATATTGCTCGGTTGGGTGATCACGATAGTCAAGCCGGAACACTCCGTCAAGGTAGCTGAAACTGTCGGATATATTTTTATAAAAATAGAGGAATTAAGAATAAATCGAATATTTGTCAATAAAACTATTCGTATTATTTTTGTAATAAAATTACCACACATTCGTCATATTTGGTTGACGGAAATATACTTTCTGCTATAATTTTTCGGTTGTATGTATTACATTTACCTAAGTATGCTTTTAATCGACGGGCATTTTTTCTGTCGAAGAAAGATAAAAGGGAATTGAGCAAAACATTTTGATTCATGTTCAATGATTACTGAACACATTAACACATTAGTTAATCCAAGTTGGTTTTCTTAGACCTTGATGAGAATCGACAGGTTGTTCGACATACAATGACCTACCTGCCAGACGATCCGACTAGTCTCTTGATATTTGCTCTAGACCTACAATCTAAATAAAAGCTTACAGTTAAGACTGTTTGAAATAACTGTAAGTGAAATATTCTCTTTAAACATTATGAAAATCTATATAGTTTCCCGTCAATAGAGTAGTTCTCTAAGTTCCACTTATCATTAGCCTGTGTCTAACAGATGTAGTACTATTCATATTTATCATTCGGATTTGAAATGTGTTCTGCATTATTAACAGTGTGAATCAAATTTTATTTCAATTTGCTTAAATATTTAATATTGTTTCCTTTCTGGATTAAAACCGAATTCTCTTAGGAATGCTGTGATGTTATACGCTGCTATCTAGCAGCTAGTTCTTCACAAATTCTTGAATGGCATGATGATGACGGTGAGTGTACACTGACTTTTATTAATTGGATTACCCTGTATAATTCTCATCAATCCTTCGTGCGACTTCTTGTGGTGCTCGTTCAGTGGTTAAACCTTTTGACTTACAGCCACTATACTTCAGTTTTGAACGTCTCTCCATCTATTTGACTTCAAGTGCTAGTTGCTATCCCCATTCCTCATACACAAAGTGTGACTTGAATCTGAATATACGAATTTCTACTTGATGTATGAGTTGAATAAATAGTGTTTTATAATAATCCATACTTTCCTTTCCTACTATCCATATGTCTGATTGTAACACTGGATCATCGGATGATTACAAAAACATCATCTCAGCAATTTATATATCACTTTTCTAGTGAACACCAACAACATATGGAACATAGTTCAATAATTCTCATTGATTTGTTTAACAATTAAACATGATAATCCAGTAGGGAATAATGAGAAATGGATTTCGTTCGTTGGTAGCCTGAATTGCCAATTTTTAATTAAACCGATCTTAGTTATTATAATCATCGAGAACCATAGAATACGGAACAACTATTTCCGCGTAATATGTAACTCTTTAGCAATTAATAGACATTGTAAATATCTCATCATACTTTTTTTACCGAAATTTTGTCCTTTTTCGCTTAACATATCTACCCTCAACACTTCGATTTTTATAAATATCTTGTCCATGACTAATCCCTATAACTTTTCTCACGTTAAATTAACTATTTACTTCTTACTTTTTTTAAAAACTAAATTAGGCAATAATGGAGTTGGTTACATACTTCATGTAACTTCTCGTTTACTAGATCCCTCGAATCCAGTTGAATGGGCTACACCAGCTGGTAAATTAGCTTATGCTATTTTACTTCAGTTTGATGCCCAACAATTAAAAGAAAATACAGATTTATTATTGCGTGGTGTACTAGCTCGTTTGTGTACATTAATGGGTAAGTATTTCACTTTTGTTGATGAACTTATGATTTTTATTATTTCCATCGTCAACTGGTCTTAGCTAAATATTTTTTTTAAAAACCAGAACGCAGTAGACAATGCTTTCACCCTAATTTGAGATATTTCTGCAGTTTCTTGAGTTTTAAAACACTTCATAGTGATATTAGTAATAATAATGTCCTCGTCAGTGATTAATTTATTGCAACCATCCTCGTATTCACAGTGAAAAGCTGCGACAAGTAAATTTCGGTCATTTCAACGGATGTTTGTACAGTATCGCGAATTGATTGAAGCTAGAAGTCGAAACCATTAAGTGCTTACTCAATCGTCTGCAGGTCAGTCATTCATCGTGATAGACAGATGTCCACGGTCCTATTCACGATGGGGTGGTGAATACACCTGTTATTGGGTTCGGTACAAATTCACGGATGTGATTCTTCTAACCATAGCTCAATTAGACTAAACGTTTTTCTTAGTACATAGCTTCAACGTTTAGAATCTGCGCTTTAATATGAAATAGGGAAGGCGCTATTGTCCTAGCATTACTTTATTTTCCTCGAAAAATGAAAATCAATATGTCGGCTTCTGGATTTTATTAGCTATCCAATTATAATAAGTTTATGATGTTATCTGTAAAAGTCATTCATGATTCCAAACTCCTTAAACTTATGGTTATTGGTTGTGCTTTTTTTGACTAACCTAATGTGTGTTATTTCAACAGATCCAATAATTTAAAATAACTGAAAATGTGTTTTTCTTTTTTTAAATTATGTTATATCTAACAGATAAACGATCGATCGTTAGCGTTCTATCCATTTGAATTGGTTATGTTTAGATTACGTTAAAACTAAATTGCTTTATTGAAATTCTAATAAACTCTTAATGTATTAAAGCTTTTGGTGACAATTAGTTATTTTTTTTAAGTTAGATATCTTCAAACATCTGAGTTGTTGAGTTTGTTTTTTAATATGATTAATTTTTGTTTGAGTGAAGATTTGATAATCATGAGATATTATTATTATTATCACAGACAATTCTCATTGTGTTTGTGAGGTGGTGACAACTGGAATGTAAATAGTAACTGGATTATACATGATTTTTTTATACATTTTCTCCATACATAATGATTCGACTTTGAATATATAATTCTTATTAACAGTGATTATGAGTGCCTAGTAGTGGAATCTAGGATGTGCGTTTTGTTCTATTTTGGGCCAGTCAACTGTATCTACTTGCATTTCAGAGTTGATGTTCATTTCGGAACTTGAACCTTGTACCATTCGCTTCAAACGCCATCCTGTTATCGCATTCGCTTCTGAGTTCAGATAAACACTCACTTGTGCTGTATGGTGAAGATTAATTCATTTTTATTGGTTGCTTGAATCTTCCTACTGATAGTTAGGACTGAACTTGTTCTATCTACTTTGGCATTCGCGTATACTGTAGAATTACCTCTATATTAAGTCACGAGCATTATAAGAAGAGGTGGATACTTGAGGCTAGGACACACGTTTCGTCCAAATTTTGACTCTTCGGCTAAGTTATTGTTCCCTTGAGAAAAATTCATATAGTATAGTATGTAAAAACTCAGTGGATCGTGAGGTTCTGTGGAGGTGGCTGTCATTGAAAGGTGTACCAAAGAAGTACATTAACCTCATACAAGCTCTCTGCTCGAACACCACTGGTCGAGTGAGAGCTTATGGCGAACTGTCATCTGAATTCTCCACATCAAGTGGTGTCCGTCAGGGATATCCACTCTCTCCATTCTTGTTTAATTTCATCATAGACATGCTCCTAGATATAACCTTATCCTCGTCTGAATTTTCAGGAGTAGACCTTTTACCAAGTGGCTCGCTTATTGACTTAGAATATGCCGATGACATAGTTCTACTTGGTGAAGACGCTGACAAAATGCAGTTTTCTGAATATCATAAGCAACATTGCAAGCATGTTCGGGATGCGGTTCTCACCCTCGAAATGAAAAATGTTGCTTCAAGATTGGGTTGAATCGGCACTTGAACTAGTGATAAGGAGTGAAGTAGTCGAACGTGTAGACCGCTTCACTTAGCTTGGGAGTCTCATCAGTGCTGATGGCCTGGTGACTGACGAAATCTCGGCACGGATACAGAAGGCTCGATTGGCTTTTTCCAACCTGCGTCACTTATGGTGTAGGCGAGATATCCGTTTGCTGAATAAAGGACCGATGTACGGCGCAGTAGTTCGCTCCGCCTTACTTTATGGCTGTGAAACATGGCCAGTGAGAGTAGAAGATATTCGTAGGTTACTGGTTTTCGATCATAGTTGTCTTCGAAGCATTGCTCGTATACCCTGGGACACCCGAGTGAGCAACGCTGTTATTAGAAATCGGTCGCTAGGTAAGGTAGGCAGATCAATAGATGAAGTAATGAAACTTCATCAATTGAGGTGGTTGGGACATGTGTTGCGTATGCCCAGCCACCGACTGCCTCGTCGAGCTTTGTTTTGTAGTGTAGGAGTAGATTGGAAGAAAGCTAGGGGCGGCCAGACCAAAACATGGAATAAATGCATGAAGTCATTGACGAGTGGACTTAGCCATATCGGTAGATGTCGGCTACCTGGTTGGGGTCCGCGAGATGATAATAATAGATGGTTACAGATCTTGAATGACATGGCTCAAAATCATTCGCAATGGCGCCAGTGCATTTATTCTTTGTGTTCTCTCAAATCGTAATATATATATTTTATGATTGTGTTTATTAATTTTATTTCATTGGATGGCTGATTTAATATATATCTCAATAGATTTATTGGTTTCTTTGTGTGTTAAAATTCCAGAAATTATCTAGTGTTTCTGCCATGTTTTCTCAATCCAACTTTTGTCCATAATTTTTCTGGCATAGATGGGTATTCATGATGACGTTATGTGTTATACAAAATTTGATGGGGAATTTATGTTCACACCAACAATTTACAAGGCCTTCCTTTTGTAATACAATTTTTCACGTAATTGCTTCAGCTTAGCTTGTAGATGATAAATAAAGTGTTCTGATATGTAATATGTCGGGTTCCAGTCGTATGATTTCAAATTGGCAATCCTTATTCACGATTTCAAATTAAACCAGGTCATCTGACATTATAGTTGCTGTTCAACGAACTACTGCTTGAAGCTCCCTTTAATTTTTATTGGCTTGTTCGGTTTTCTTAATCAAAATTTAAATTATTTTAAGCATTTGATTTTGATCGACAAATATTTGCTGCTATTCTTCACTATTGCTCTTACTTATATCAATGCGTTTTTTCACTCCGCCAGGCAATAATCATAAACAGTCTTTACAGTTAGTATATGGTGATCAACAGCAGGGTATCCATGGAGCACGACAAAGCTTACTGTTTGTCATTATCTTGTTATTTCGCATACGAACTAAATTGGCCATTGATTTTTTATCAACCATACCAGATCCAACTGGAAAGCCTGTACTACAAGAAATATTATCAATATGGTGCGACTGTCAACCGTATTATTTTTCACGTTATGAAATTCAAGTTAGGTAAGAATGAAATAAACGAAGTAACAATTTTACTTGCTACGAATATTGCTGTTAAGAAGCGGTCGTTAAAGTTTAAGGTAGTCTGTTAAATTCTTGCCCCTTCATATTACCTTACTGACCTTAGCTATGAATGAATTGTTTATTCTCTATTCAAGTTTTCATTCGTTGTCACATAATAAGAAACCTCTTCAGTTGTTTGTAGATAAAATTTACTGTGAGCTAACCGAATGTCCAATGCTTTAATTTTTATTTTCAGAGATTTAGCAATCTCACACTGTTTTTTATCTAAAAATAAACATACAGTAAACTGAATAAGTTATTTCTACATGGTCAGTTATAATGGGCATGTATTCAACTCTTAGGCATTTATCTTCCAAAAGCTTTCTTCATTTAAAATTCAACTACCCTGAATGATCAGTGTTGTAAAGTTACATGTAAAATCACTATTGAAGGTTGTCATTCAGTAGCTTAAACGATGCACGTGATTGATGGAGGCCGATTAAGGTTCTCGATTTCAGTAAACATGCTTTATATATATATATACATATATGGAAGGTAAGTCTATCTACACCGGATATCGGAGATTTTCTGGGTCAAAAGTTTTAATTAGTTTAAGTTGTTTATGAGCGATTTGCTCGACTTCAAGTTAGTTTAGATCACTAATTGTTATCTCTTTAGAAATCCGACTGGAAAACTCTGAGTCTTGACCGCAAGACTTGTGGACAAATAGTTTGCTCGAGGTTAGATTTATGGTTATGCATTGTGTTAAAAAGAGACGATTATTCTGTACACTATAGTTGTCATTAGTTCTTTGACTTTGACGTCAATTCTATGTAGTACCCTTTCATGAATTGACAAACATATCAAATTTCTAGCCTATAAATACTTCAGTTAGCTTGATTTCATTATCGACTAGTTTGATTAGATAATTATTCCAACAAATGGTCTGTTGAAATCTGATAAATTTAAAGTATACAAATAATGTTACTAGATTGTTTCAGTCACTCTTACTAAATATCTTGTTCATTTCATCTCGTCATGCTCATATACTGTGCCCTCTTGAATCAAGGTATATCTGTGTCATATTCCGTACTGATGCTAATTGACTGAATGAATACGCATTCGTTTCAAGTATTATCAGTATACGTGTTGGAGACGTTAGATCCACAGAACTCACTTGTTAACGATCCTAATTTTGGATTTTGTGTTTTCGCTCATGGGCTGATCAGTTGACCCTGAGATCACATTTCCCACCCGGAAAATCCTTGACCGTTATTGGTTGATGTATTATTTTAGTACGCTATTTTTGTGGCTCACCCAAGGACGTTTCTATCATGTATAAATAAACTCTATTTGTGTGCTTTTCAACCTCATATTTTCTGGGTGCTTGTAGAATCCAGTTTCTACGCCTTATCAATACTTCTTGATTTAGTTAGCAGGGTCGGGGACACTCGAATCAGAATAGCGTATCGTGTCACTGTATCATCATTGCTTAGCTCTCGTTTACCGAGTAAGGTGAACTCGTAATAGTTTCAAGCATTCCATTACATAACTGCTATAATAGTCAGTAACAATAAATAATCATGTTCTGGTTTATTTTAAAAGTTAATATTAAACTAATAATAATCTATTTGATTGTACATAACTGTTTTAATGCATTCCATTATTTTCCAACTAAAATATTACACTTAATTTCTACCTTCCAACATTCGTTTCCTTAGTACAATCGCATTGGCTAATTTAATACTGCACACAATCAATACGAAAGATGAACGTATTATGCAAATAACACTTCAAGAAGAAATGGACAGTAATAATGAATCTGTCCAAACCAGATCAAAATCTTGTTAGTATCTAATATTTTATTTATTTCGATTGTAAATTTGTTTTGAGCTTGTTTTATCATTATTATTATTATTTATATTGAGTTGGTGCTTACTTCTTTTTTTGTATGTTATTAATCTAACAAGATGAGTTAACTAGGATTTTTTCAGTTGTGCTGTATGTAGTTGTATAAATCCTTTGACTATGACAAAACAGCTGTTTTTTTTATAGTGCTTTCTATTGATTGATTTATGGTTTTTTTTTTCTAGAAATAACTCTTCAAAATGAATTATCTCTAGATCATATTACATATCACTCTTATCCACTTAGTAATTCATTTATATATATATATATATTTTTAAGGTCATGTGTAAAACTTAGTTCATATTTTATGAAATATTGAAATTAAGTTTTCTGTGTAGAATCGTTTGAATCAATGCGTTGACAGAACAATAGGTGTATATATTGTACAATGTTGATTTTATTAATCCTATTATACTAGGTATTGTTTGTTGTTTTGTTTTTTTCTCTTCAACAAATCAATTCTAATTCTTATTAGCTAAGGTGTAGTATGTATAGTTTAATGATTTGTCTTAATTTCGTGTCTTAACACGACAGTTATTTATAAGGTGATAGTGATATCCATTGAAAAATTTATTAATAGGTAAATCATGTTAGTATATATGTGTATACATACCTTACAATTGTTTGGTTCAATTGATAGTTTTAACTCGGCTTTATTCACAAATGATAAACAGCTCATGTTGATTGTATTTATTTATATTGTCATGTCATCTGACCATTTAATTATGTTCGATAAATTGTACAATGATTAATTTGTCTACGGATTTTAGTACACATTTTTTATGAATAAATTTTGAACAAGTAAGGTTATTCTTCCCTGGTTCATTAACAATCAAACAAAAGTTGGCATAAATAGAAGCATTATTTTCTTCAATCTCACAAATCTCTCATTCCTATTTTCTGTCTTGCTGTAGTTTTGTTCTCTGTCTCTTCGACTAAGTTTGGAGTTCTTTATCGGAACTTTACACACTACTAATAGTTGGTTAGTTTCGCTAAACACGAAATACTCAAAATTTTCCTAGTAAACTGTGTTATCAGAAATAAAAGAAAAATACATTTAATGCGTATTTCATACATCTTCAAATTTACCAACAGAGGAAAATTTGATCGCGGACCTTTATAACGCGAATAATCTACGTGATCGTGTTAGCTCTGTTATGCATATCATCTGATTTACAGTCCACACTTGAGTAATCGTATCTTGCGTCCGTTATTGCACACACTGACCAATCAACAACAGCCAAGACCTTAGTGCTTATTCATCTTTAAGTTCTTACTAATTCAATAGCTAATCAGATGTCAAATAGAAAGCAGATCATTTCTCTATTGTGTTCAATTCGATTATCACTCACACTCCATACAATATTATACACATACTTAAAATCATTGACTACACAACAATTCGAATAAGAAATTATACTCTTAACACAATCATACCATAAATGGTAGAGAGCCGATCAAACATCACATACATAATTAGAGATAATAAAGTAACAGAAAAACATATACCGACATTTAATAGGTTCATTGAAAGGTTACAATTAGGGGAGTAAAAAATGCCACAATAAACTTAACTATTCATTAGGTAATAAAAAAATATGGATCATGATAGTGATTCAAAAAATAGCACTGGTGGATAGAATCGAGGATTCACGTTTCGTCCTACTTAGGACTCACCAGCTAAATGTTCCTGCATCTCAGAGTTAATGTTCATGCCGGTACTCAAACCCAGTACCTTAAGCTCTAAACGCCATAGCGTTAAACACTTATCTACTGAGTTCAGATAGCCATTCTTTCATTCTGTGCAGTGAACATTAGTTCATTTGTATTGACTGTTTGAATCTTTCCACTGATATTTAGTACTGCAACTGATCAATCTATTTAACATATATCGGTGGCACAATATTCCCACACAAATTGAGATCAATCTATCATGAATCTAACTTAAAAATAACACATTCTTATACAAAAGATAACATGCTGATCACTAATTATTAGGGTACAACGCTTTTGCTTCGTTTTTTTACTTTTTTGAAACTTTTCAACATGCCGAGTATGTATTCGTATTTCTAGAGTTCATATTTTGTTGAAAAATGTAGATCGATTTTACTTAACAAAAACAGCAGTAGTCTATTTAGTGTCAGACTGACTGACAGTTGACTGCGGAACTCTTATTTCAACCGATTTGGGTCTCTTCAGTCCAAACGCCGTCTGAGTTCAGTTAACCATTAACTTTTTTTAACGGATTTGAATGTATTAGTAAGGATTCATACACGTTTACCATAATAGAAACCAAACAATTGGTTTCCTAAATATCAACAACATAAAAATGTAAACTTTATATACTACAACAGAGTCAATAAATGAGAATTATAAAACTTTAAATTTGATGGGTTGATTTTCTTCAGAAAAAGAATATACCGTAACTTTTCTCTCTTTTACAAATCACTTGATTTCCTTTTTCTCTGCTTTTTGTTAGGTCAACAGACTAAAACACTGATCGATATACCAATTATTGTTTGTATGTACAAATTATTGTTGAACGAATTAAACAAGAAACTAGAAGAGGAAACGGAATACTCTGATGAAATTACGGATAGTGAATTTGATGATGAGAATGATGATGATGGTCTTAGCGATGATGGGGAGATTCAGGCGGCAGGTTTTGAACAACAAGAAGAACTATGTGTGGAGCAAGAGATAATCAATGGCAAACGTGATCAGGTAACGACTATGTTGTGTTTTGCATGTACATATTTGAAGGACAGTTACCTTTCCATACCAACTATATTTATTTGCAATTGTTCAAATATGAATTAGGGTGTGCAAGAAATAGTCTGACTGATAAAATTTTCTTCTCTATCCGTGCTGAGATTTCGTCACACACCAGGCCATTGTCAATGGCGAGATAAGTGAAGAGGTCAACACACTCAACTATTTCACTCCCTATCACTAATTCCGATGCTGATGCAAGCCAATCCTGAAGGAACATTTTGCATTTCGACGGTGAGATTCGTATCCCGAATATGCATACATTGTTGCTTATGGCAGTAAAGCGATACCCACCGTGAGGCGTCGTGGAGTGATATCAAAAAGGCTGTGGAAACAGCAGTGATATCTTCTAGTAAGGTAAACCTAAGGCTCGGGAGAAGCGGTGGATCTCGGTAGCATCCACCGAACTGATAGAGGCTCGAAAACTCATCCAACCTGGCTCTGAACATGATGAAGAATGAAGTCAACTTCGCCGCAGGTTGATAAAAAGCCTTCGGAATGATCGCGAACAGTGGTGGGTAGTGAAAGCAAGGGAGATGGATAAGGCAACGACGATAGGCAAAAGCAGACTACTATTCAGACTCATCAGGGAAACCGGTTTTAGGAATCCGACTGTTAGTGAGACTATCCCGGAAAACGATGGGCTTATTATTCATTCTCAATACAGGAGATTCGATCGATGGGTAGAATACTTCAGGGACCAGTTCAACTGGTCTTCAGCCACACTTCGGTTGCCCACGATCTCCAGTCATCCTGAATGGCAAATCGATGTAGGTCCTCCGACTCTTTATGAAGTTGAGAGAGCCATAGAAATCTGAAGCAAGGGAGAGCAGCGGGTCCTGATAGACTTACCCCTGAGATTTCCAAGGATGATGGTCCAGTTTCAGCAGCCGAACTGACTGAGATGTTAGGTAGAATCTGGGAACTGGACGTAATTCCATCTGACTGGTCCCTACACCAGTTCGCTCCGTTCTCCTATATGGCTGTGAAACATGGCCTTTACGAGTAGAAGATGTTCGTAGGTTGCTAGTATTCGATCATAGATGTTTAAGAAGCATGGCTCGTATATCGTGGGACAACCGAGTGTGCGATGCTGTCGTTAGGAAACGAGTACTAGGTAACGATGGCAGATCAATAGATGAAGTGCTGAAACTTCATCAGTTAAGGTGGTTGGGACATGTGTTAGGTATGGCTGACCACCGACTGCCTCGACGAGCTATGTTTTGTGGTGTAGGAGCAGGTTGGAAGAAAGTTAGGGGCCACCAGACCAAAACATGTCAGAAATCCATGAAGTCACTGACAAGTGGACTGAGTTATGTTGGTAGATGTAAACTACCTGGTTGGGGTCCGCGAGACGAAAGTCACCGATGGTTAGAGACGTTGAACGACATGGGTCAGAATCATTTGCAATGGCGCAAGTGCATCCATTCTTTGAGCTCTCTCAAATCCTAATCTTCTGGATTCATCAGCACCTCTATGTCTTTCTAACCTTATTTCACTTAATTATACTTCTTGAATAATATCTTCAAACCCTAGTCTTCTTCATTACCATTAATACCTCTTCTATCTTTATCACTATGGGATTTGATTTGACATCTGCGTCTTTGTGCTAATGTGGTATGGCAACATGAACTTATGTACATACATACGAAGTTCTACGTTGCATCTGACTGACTGTTGGTAGGTGTACATTACTTGGTTGAGGCCTGCGAGATGATAGTAAACGATGGTTAGCGATCTTTAACAACATGACTCAAAACTGTTTTCAATGGCGCAGATGCATTCACTCTGTGTTATTTTGAATTCTAATCTGAATTCATCATGACTTTGTTTCTCGTTTTAAAAAAATGATTCTCCTGGGACATACTTCTTGAATGATATCTTCGATCACTAATCTCACCGATTACTGTTCATACTTTACCATCTCTGTGCTGATGTGGAATGGCAAATTGAACTGATGTATACATGTTCGACGACCTTCGTTGTTGTTGAATGACTGACCTTATATATTATTCTGCATTTAATCGTTCTACAACTTGCCGTCGATGCTTCGAATTATTGAACAAATTCATCATTGTAATAAATTTATACAACTATCTCACCTATATTTCAGTGAATTATGTTTTCGAATTAAACACCATATTTACTTACACACTGGTTTCTGTACTATCAAATTTCATGCATTTGTACAAATTCATAATATTACATAATATTTATCTTGTTTCTTTTTTCTGTATACATTTCTTTGTAGGATATCATTCATCAAAATATAAACAAAAGAAAAGCAATCAATAAATGTGATCTTCATGTGCAGCAAGATAATGATGTTGATAACTCAAGTATGCTATTCAGTATTTATTTATTTATGATGTAAACTATAACCTTTTTATGATGATCAGTAGCCAAATTCCAGTATCATATATAACATACATTATTAGTAAATTTAGAAATCTTACTAGTCATCGTTTAACTTTTGCTAACTGACAAATCATTTGTCTGTGGTCATCAAAATAAAATATTTGTCCTTTTCATACTGTTCAATCAAATCTGACATGTGGCATATTTCTACGATGCATTGGCAACTAACGAAATTCATTTCAATACTATAAATAGTCAATAAACACTATTATTATTATTATCACTATTATTATTATTATTATTATCAAAAATAGTTCTCTTAGGATATTCGATGAATATCCTAACACCTTCCTCTGGAAGAAAAAAAGAAAAAGATTAACAGCGACACAGCCGAAGGTTTACTTGAAATTACTTTGATTTTCTTCGTTCGCGTTTCGGCCGCCTTCGAGGTAACAACCTTGAAGCGGAAGTGTTCTGTCGGATTAAATAACTCAATAGTCTCTGTTGGAGGTATCGGCGGAAGTTGAAAAGTATCCATCAGCAAACAGAGTGGGAGGCGCTTCGTAATTTCACCTTTCTCTTTATTTCCCTCTGACAGTTGATCACGAGGTCTTATGGCATTCGAAAATCTATTCATGATATCCTTATCATTATCTAGCGACACTTCGACGCCCAAAGATTTACAAGAAAGAATGAAGTCACGTGAATATATTTGTCTGTCTATTGTATCCTCCTTCTTTCCATCATCCCAGTCTGCTTCATCTCGTGACTTGGCATGCTTGGGGACGCCACACAAATCATCTGAGATCACATTTTCTTCAGACGTAACAACTGGCTGCAGTCCAAGACCAATCTAAAAGAGTTCAGTGAATCGTTTTTGAAGATCTGCAGCATGCTGTTGTGTAGTGGCAGCAGTTTTACTTGATTGCAAATAGTGCTAATGGGAAAATCAGCGAGGCCAAGTTTTTCGAACCAATCTAACCCCACAAGGTTGAGAGGAGACTTGGTGATGTAGCATATTCCATTGAAGGTTATACCTCTAAACGGAACATGGCAATCGAGTCTACCATGAAAACGGAGATGACCCCCACAGGCACTAACAGCTGACGATGGTTTGATGGGTGGTTGGCCCAAGGTTCTCCAAGTCTCTTCCGACAGAATAGTTATATCTGATGCAGTATCCAACCGCAACCAGGCTTGCTGACCATTGATTGAGAGGGTCGAAAATTTGTGTCGAGTAGAAATACCGGTGTTGAAAACTGCTGCTAAACTCCTTGATGCAGCAAACGGCTTTTTGGGAAAACGACGCTGCGTCTGTGAATCTCGCCGGCCAGTGAATCGGGTTGTTTGGCAAAAACCGCTTTTGTGACCAACTTTCTGACAACGATCGCACATATGCTGCTTGAATGGACAAGACTTCCAATAATGCCAGGCTCCATAGTGCGAACATGGTGAGGGGGCTTCTTATGAGCCCATTTGGAGTGAATAGAAACATGACTGGCGTCCGAAGGACCAAAGGTTTCCGATCTAGAAAGTCACACCTCACCTTACCTCATGGATTTCCATCTCCAGCGATAAGGCCTTTTAAACAAGAGCGGAGCATATACTTTAAAAACTTCTCGTAAAAAGGCCAAACGTGATCGGCCTCAACAAGTAGTCCCATAGGCTCTGAGGTCACGCTCCCAGGTCTCTAAGACCAACACTAATCTACCCCCCCCCTTTCCGGTTCCTCAAGAAACACCCATTCACGGTGTGGGCAGCCCGGAAGTGACATCCGCCCTCATACCCGTAACAGCACGTGAGATCAAATCGGTCACAAAAAAGTCGTTCCTACACCTCATAACACCTATTTTATCTCCACAACTAACCCTTCTCACACTTCTTTGTCACCCATCATCACTAACGCAAACGATGCGACTTCACGAAACGCTATTCCTGGTCTCCTGAAACCCCGTTCGCAACTACATGTTAAAGCTTTTAATGTCCGTACATTGTGTCATATAAGGCAATAGGCTTCCTTAGCTCGGACTTTAAAATCTCGTGCAATCAATGTATGTTGCCGCGCATAAAGGATCCGAGAAAAATCAATAATTTGATTTCACCTCGTCCATATAGAAAATCAAATCGGTTTACGCTTCGTGTATCTAGAAGGCCTGATGCTGCTTACGGTGTCTCGCTGGTGTAGTCATAGCATTAAGTCTTAGGGCAGAACTAGCTCTCTTAGACTAAACGCCAGTAGATAGTCGCTTGTGCGCAGTCCGACTGAACAGGCCAGTAAGGACACGTAAAGATAGGGACAGTCGCCATTGCCTGTTTGTTCTCTCTGCCTACACTCCCACTGACTGCAGTTCAGACGAGATAAAAGATGAGTTTTACAGACACATCTCTGACCTCCTTCAAAAATCTAAGCACTCTGTTATGATAATAATGGCTGGTGACTTTAGTACTCAATTAGGCAGACTAAGTGAAAAGGAAAGATACTTAGGTGGAACTTATGGTGTCGCGGCTAATAGAACAGATAATCGCAACCGTCTGCTGCAGCTGTACTCAGATAACCTTCCATTTTTCTAGCAAATACTCTCCATTCTTGTTTAATTTTGTTATAGACTTGCTTTTAGAGATAACATTATCCCCGTCTGACTTTTCTGGACTTTACTTTCTACCAAGAGACCCGCTTGTTGATCCATAGTATGCGATCACATAGTTCTACTTGGTGAAGACGCTGATGAAACGCAGTCTTCTGACTACCATAAGCAACAATGTATGCATGTTCGGGATACGAATCTCACCGTCGAAATGCAGAATGTTCCTTCAGGATTGGCTTGCATCGGCATCGGAACTAGTGATAAGGAGTGAAGTAGCTGAATGTGTTGACCTCTTCATTTATCTCGGAGTTCTCGCCATTGACAATGGCCTGGTGTGTGACGAAATCTCAGCACGGATACAGAAGGTTCGATTGGCTTTTGCCACCTTGCATCACTTATGGCATAGGCGAAATATCCGTCTACCAACGAAAGGACAGATTTACCGTCCTACTTTACAGCTGCGAAACATGGCCAGTAAGAGTGGAGAATATTTGTAGGTTGCTGGTTTTCGACCATAGGTGTCTCCAAAGCATTGTTCGTATGTCCTGATACAACCGAGTAAGCAATGCTGTAGTTAGGAAACGAGTACTAGGGAAGTATGGTAGATCAATATATAAGGTAGTGAAACTTCATCAGCTGAGGTGGTTGGGACATGTGTTACCTATCCCTAACCACCGAATGCTGCGACGAGCGATCTGTTTGTGATTAAGGAGTAGGTTGGAAGAAAGGTAGTGGTGCCTGCCGACCAATTTTCTGCAAACAACTCTGTCCTGGGCTTCCCTTTCCAGTTCTGTCCAATTTTTGTTAATTTTTCTCATATCTTTCTCTATTTCTCGGCGTAATGTGTTCTTTGGCCTTCCTCTTTTCCTTTGACCTTGAGGGTTCTATGTGAGGGCTTGTCTCGTGACGCAGTTAGGTGCTTTTCGTAGTGTGTGTCCTATCCACTTCCACCGCTTCTTCCTGATTTCCTCCTCCACTGGAATCTGGTTTGTTCTCTCCCACAGTACGTTGTTGCTGATGGTGTCTGGCCAACGAATCCAAAGTATTTTGCGTAGACAACTGGTAATAAACACTTGTATCTTCTGGATGATGGCTTTCGCAGTTCTCCAAGTGTCCGCTCCATACAGTAGAACTGTCTTCACATTTGTATTGAAAATCCTGATTTTGGTTGAAATTTGTTTAGAGTTCCAGATGTTTTTCAACTGTAGAAATGCAGCCCTTGCTTTGCCAATCCGCGCCTTCACATCTGCATCGGATCCACCTTTCTCGTCGATGATGCTGCCCAGATATGTAAAGGTGTTAACGTCCTCTAAAGAATCTCCATCAAGCGTGATTTGGTTGGTGCATGTTGTTTTGCATCGGAGAATTTTGCTTTTTCCTTTATGTATGTTGAGACCTACTGCTGCAGAGGCTGCTGCTGCTACACCGGTCGTCTTCTCTTGCATTTGTCGTTGCGTGTGCGACAGAAGAGCCAGGTCATCTGCGAAGTCCAGATCGTCCAGCTGCTTCCTAGCTGTCCGTCCACTGAATACCGTGCTTCCCTCCAGATGCTGCCGTCTTCATAACCAGTCGGTCACCAGGAGAAAGAGAAAGGGTGAGAGTAAGCAACCTTGCCTCACACCGGTCTTCACCTCGAAAGAGTCTGTTAGCTGTCCTTCGTGTACGATTTTGCAGTTGAATCCATCATAAGAATTCCGCATGATGTTGACTATCTTCTCAGGCACACCGTAGTGTCGAAGAAGCCTCCATAGTGTTTTCCTATCCACGCTATCGAATGCTTTCTCGTAGTCGATGAAGTTGATGTAGAGTGGTGAGTTCCATTCAATTGATTGTTCCACAATGATCCGTAATGTAGCGATTTGGTCAGTACACGATCGATCCTTACGAAATCCAGCCTGTTGACCTCGAAGTTGGGCGTCTACGAAGTCCTTCATTCTGTTCAACAATACCCTGTTGAAAACTTTTCTGTGAATTGAGAGAAGAGTGATGCCTCTGTAGTTCTCACACTTGTTCACACCGTCTTTCTTTGACGAGTTGCCCTTCTTTCCAGTCTGTTGGTACGTGTTCTTCATCCCAAATCCTGCTGAAGAGACTGTGGAGTATCTTTGCAGTTGCCGCCACGTCTGCCTTCAATGCCTCTACTGGAATGTTGTCTGGTCTCGCTTCTTTGCCGCTCTTGATTTGTCTGATGGCCATACTGATCTCTTCAATTATAGGGCCGCCAACATCGATTGGGAGGTCCGTAAATGCTGCGTTGATGTTGGATGTGTTCAGTGGAGCTGGTCGATTCAAGAGTTCCTCAAAGTGCTCTACTCACCTATTTCGCTGTTCTTCAGTGTTGCTGATACTTTGCCTTTCTTGCTTTTCACTGGTCGTTCTTGTTTACGATAGTCTCC